CTTTCTTCCTTCACAGTTAACTAAGCTTCAGCATAGCCTTCCAAAGCTAGGAGTCCTCCCAAGGCATTGGACCATAACTCCCATCATCCTGTCAGCAGGAACCTCCGGTGTTAACCGAATAACATAATAGAGTAATAATAAAGTTGGAAGGGACCTTGGAAGCCTTCTAGTCCATTCTCCTGGTCATGCAGGAAACCCTATATCATTACAGATGAATGGCTGTCCAATCTCTTCTTTAAAAAATCTCCAGTCATAGAGCACCCACAACTTCTGAAGACAAGTTGTTCTAGACAGTAATTGGTATTACTGTCTAGAAATTTCTCCTTGGTTCCAGATTGGTTCTCTCCTTGATTAGTTTTCATCCATTACTTCTTGTTCTGCTTCAGGTGCTTTGGAGAATAGGTTATTAGGAATAATGAATAGTATAGTCCCGTTTAGCTAGAAGATACTTACACTACTTACCTACTCGGTATTTTAGGTATTCCTTATGTAGAGTGTTCTGACGCCTTTCAGATATTTGGACTATAAACCCTAGTTTTGTGGGTCTTGTGTTCCAAGATATCTGAAGGACAAACAGTTGCCCCAAACGAATGGAAATCTTGATTTTCCCAATTCAACTTTTACAAAAGGGGAACACCAAAAAGAATTTGCTTTATGCATTCAACTATAGTCAAGCACTCTTAAGATTAACTCCCTTCCAGCCCTATGATTCTATATTCTACAGAATATATCCTGTCTTCATAACAGTCATCTGGGGACAGGATTTGTGTTAGAGGTTTTAGAAACCGCACAACATTAGTTCTGAACTCATGCGAGATTTCATGCAAAATACCAAAAACACCCATTGAAAACGGGGGTTGATGTACTGTTTCTGTCCAAGTGTAATGAATTTCAGGCAGTCTGGGTGCCACATTTCTGCTCCTTAGTTCAGCATAGAAAGTAGAAGTCAGAAAAGACCTTTAAGAAGGTGCCTTAGAAAGAGACTTTTGGACGATTACAAAACTTTATTGGCAAGGGTTCAAGCACAGCCATCTGGGCAGCTTGCAAAGAGACTGCGATGCTTCTCAGATGCTTCACCTTGTTCATTTTTGGCCCGTCCCAGCTACTCCCCCAGTAGCTATGTCATTTCAGTCTGGTCCTGTGCTTTGCATTGCTCTCCTAACTAGTTTCCTGTGCAAGTGAATTTTTGAATCATGGAAGGCAGCAGCTACGGGGGCTAAGTTGTTGATCGATGTGGGAGTTCGCATCTGCCAACTCTGTTTAGCGCAGCTGGGAAGCGCTTTGGCAGATGTGAGCTGTGGTGGGGGTGGAAACTGGAACCTTGTGTTCCCTTTTGTACAAAGTGATTTCACCTTCTCCTGTGTTGCTAAACTAACATCATGCCAGCCAAAGCAACCATTATTGGGGAATAAACATGTTTAAGATGTATACTCTTTCCTCTCCACCGAGGCATACGGCTGGAATGCTTTTCACTCATTTTGGCAAAAATGGTCAAGATGTCTTAGCAGGGTGTAATGCAACTTTCACCAGATTATGCCCTCCAGATGTTTTATGTTACAGCCCCCGTCATCCTTGGGGGGGACTAACCTCAATAGAGATAATCCTCGACTTACAACAGTTTAGTGACCATTTGAAATGACAACGGCAGTGAAAAAAAGGAAGTATTTTCAGTGCCGTATTTCACACATGCTCTCCATGGTCACGCGATCAAAATTCAGACCCTTGGTCACTGGCTCGTATTTATGACTGCTGCAGTATTCTGGGGTCACGTGATCCTTTTTTGTGACCTTCTCACAAGCAAAGTCACTGGGGAAGCCAGATTCACCTAACAACCATGTTTCAGACTTAACGACTTCAGCGATTCACTGGACAAGAAAGGCCGTAAAATGGGGCAAAACTCACTTAACTGTCTCGCTTAACAGCAGAAATGTTGGACTCAATGGTGGGCGTAATTTGAAGATGTCATTTGCTTTGTGATATTAGGCACCAGGTGCATAACAGCAGCTTAACACAAGGGACATCAGTTGGCCCAGACTGCAGAAATCACAATAATACTTTCACGGGTTTGGGGTGTCAGTACGGTGGCAGACGACGTGTCACAATGCAAGCCATTCAGTTCTGTGTTGAAGTGCTGAGCTAGCTGTATTTTAATATTCACCATTGGAATCTATTCTATGAATCCTCTTCCTTTTTCCAGATTGGTTTATTGTTTTCATTTTTTGTTTTCAATTTTATTTTTTTTATAATGGGAGAAGTTCAACATTTTGCACAACTCCAGAAAATGGATTACTTCAGGGACCAGAATGAGCATTTTATGCAAATGCCGCAGACTGAGCAATAGACTGCAGTAGCTCTAAATGCATCTGTTTCATCCTTTTGCATCCTCATGAATGAAAAAGAAACGTGTCTTGGCCTTTAACAGCACTGTTTTGTCCCCCACCAAACTCCTTGCAGCTTTTAGAGGCAAACATTTTTTGAATGATCTTCCACCCCTTTAAGTGAAGAATTTTGTCATGAAAGTTACTTGAAAGACAGATTATGGTCATCCTTTATTGAAACTTTATGTAAAAATTTATATACATATATACAGGGTTGAGAAGCCCTTAGGTCTATCCTTTTGCTCGTTCTGCTTTTTCTTTTTCTGTTGTTTTTTTTACCTTCGGTTCAGATAAACAAAGGGAAGCATTTAAAAATGAAGAACTGAAGGAAAGCTTTTTTTAAAAAAATGAAATATATGGTTCAGTCCATGTAACACACTAGTCTGGTGACACAGATTTTCATACTGGCTTGGTTCAGACATTATGCTAAGACAAGGGTTGGGTTCCTGATACCGTAGAACATTAAATCCTAAACTCTCCCCCTCTCCTGTTGCTTTACAAACTGGTTTGAGTTTTTTCAGAACTTTTGACAGCTCACGAAAGTCGCTAACTTGACTTGATCAGTGGAAAATTGGAAGAGGTCAACCACGTCTCGTGGCTGTCAACTTGCACAAATCCAGGGATGTTGGAGAGAGGATGAAAAAAAAAAAAACTCAAAATGGTCATTGCAATCATGTGACTGAAACCTGCATTCCATTATACCTAGCCTTATTTATTCAATGAATCCATTTTCTAGTATGGCACAATTTCCCGCAGGAATGATAAACTAACCAGATGGGATTTGCATAACTCCTCACCCCTCTCAAAACTAACACTAAAACCCAGAGCCTTAGACGGGTTACTACAGAGAGGGTCTCAAAATCCAATGCCATCAAAGTCCTATTTTGGGGCTTCAATCGTGGGGTTGAAGTTACTATCTTGACTTTTGGATTCCCCCTAATAAATGCCCTGGAAATAATTCAGACTTTTGTGCTAATGGAGGCAATCAGCAAGCAGAAAACAATCCAGAGAGCCTTTTAGCACATATTCAGAAGCCTTTCTGTGGACAAAAAGGACTGAAACATTCCTTAAGTCCTGGGAAGGGAGACGGTATGAAGAAGAGACCCAGCCTGGCTCTCCCCCCCCCCCCCCGCCCGGGCTCAGTGGAGGTTTAAAGGGAAGGGGAAATAAAACACAATCCAAGATAGGCCTCTCTCCATAAAAGCAAAGGTCTGGTCTTCTGGTAGTGTTTCCTGATCTCGTTTATCCCAGACAGATCACATCAATCACACAAAGGGTGAATCAGACTTCCAATCTTCCTAGAGATTGTTTCCTAGCTTTTTTTTTTTTTAACCTAGACGCTAAGAAACACAGGCCAGAGAAGAAAGCAGAGGAGGAAGATAAAACAAGAGGAACTTCATCAGGCAGTTCACGGCCTCTTCCATTTCTGGCAAATGAAAAACAGCTTCCTTCCTGCAGATGGTTTTCATGGACAAAGTGCTCGGCGGCCTTTAAACGTACACAGGGGTCTCCACAGGGTGCGGTCAAAAGCATCAAGTAACAGCCGTCGGGGGTGCAAACATCTGTCGCTGTAGAAGACTTGCTCAGGGTGCTTCACCCACAGTGGCCCAACTCAACTTTGCTAACCTGAGAGTATCTCCCGAAGTCAGTTTTGTGCTTCTAAGTGTGAGTTCCTCTGCAAGCCGCACCAGGAGTAAGTACCCGGTGGCTGCGTTCACACAACCCCGAAGCAGCTCAGGTAAAGACTGAGCAACCGACGTAACTAAGCGAGCTTAGTGTTTACCGCAGTTAGGTTTTCAAAGCTTAGCAATTTGGATAGACGCAGCCTTTGGGCCGAGTTAATATGTCAACCTCGAAAAAGGCTGATTCCTTAACCAGCTAAAATGTGTCGTCTGAATCCAGGTAGCTTGATTATCATTATTGCTCTCAAATGGCATAAATGTTTCCAGCCTGATCATTTCATTACACACATATACACTTTAAATGAGAGCAAGTGGGTTTTTTTTTTTTTCCTTCTCTCCCTTTCGTCACATGCATGAAACACAATGTGGTTTTCCAAGGATGGCCTGCGACCCAGTGGCAGATCCAGGAAATCGTGGATGGATCGCATCAAGGAGGTCATGGAATGCCTTGGCGTCACCTCTGAAGGCGCCCTGGATCAAGCCAACTTTGCCAACGAGCAGACCCTGCGCAGGAATAACGCTAGGAGGAAGAGGCGGCCTTGCAAAATTAAAAACAGGGTTAAGAACAAGCCTAAGTGTAGCAGACACTTCAGAAATATATGAAGTTTCTTCTTTAAAGGCTAACAGTCTCTGTTCTGCCACCCTTTTGTCTCTGAAGATCTTTTGGAGGTCTTTTTTGGTGAGGTCTTTAGCAGGCCAAGGAAGGGGCAGTTCTCCTCATCTGAGTCTTTTTTTTTTTTTTTTTTTGCAGAAACTACCAATTCAAATGTCTAAGGAATCAGGAAAGATTAAGGCAACTGAAACGTTCCTGTCACGCATGCCCATCACCACCATGCCCATCACCACCACGTTCTGCTCTTCAGGATGGTGGGATTCACAAACACTGAACGTCTCTCCCTGTTAAGGCACCTGGTGAAGATCATCAGCCCTACCCCCCTGCATCTCCCCCCCCCCCAGAGTGTCATTGCTTGAAATCAAAAATCCGGTTCCAGTAGTAGAGGAAAGCTGGAGAGTTGCTAGTCCCTATGATAACCAGCAGCAGCAGGTAGAGACTCATCATCACCGCAAAACGATGTTTGGAGAGCCACGACTGGCTGGAAAGTCTATGGGGGAAAAGAATGCAGAGCGTCACTGCAGCCTTCCAGCAAATATAGCCCTAGATTGGGCTGATACAGGCAAAAGATTTCTTCTTCCCATATTTGGGCTGACAGGGTGCATAAAAAAAAAACCCCTCTCAAGACATAAATATGCATACTGTACATATACATGCATACATTAGCTTCCATGAAGAAGGTTACAGCTGCCCTGGGGGCATACTTTCATTTTAGCAGTCATAAGGACTAGGAGCTTGTCTTAAAGCAGGGAGAGGAAACCCGATGCCTTGAAAGCTCAGTTCTGCAGCCAGGTTTCTTCAGCTGCCTGACAACTCTACCACCATTATGGTTTCCCCTGCCTCTTTTGCTGTGGCTCTTACTTTGGCTCCTTCCTGCTGTTTTGAATTTTTGAACCACGGGGAGAGGAAAACCTTCAGACATGCCCTGAAGCACCTTCACTCCTGGGAGAGTGAGCTGCGCAAGGCGGGAGAAAGGGACACTCACCTTCGGTGCTGCCTCTGTGAATATATTAGCAAATATTTCACCCGTATCAGCTGATTGTTTGTAACGACAAAATATTTCTGAGGAACGTCACCCCCTTCGCTGTTCTTCACCCTGGCCCTTTTCCTGTCAATTTCTTTGGAGTCTGCCCCAAAAAAAAAAGGGGGGGGAGTAAGGTTCTCTTTGAAACTGAGATTCTGAGAAAAGCAACCAAGATACTCACGTGCAAGGAACGGTTTGATTCAGGGCCGCGGTGCAAGTTGGACAGAAAGTCCAAAACAGTTGTGGTTCTTTAGCCACACTGAACACAAGGTCCTGGCTGAGCAGAGCATTGCAAAAGGAAGGGGCAGGATGGATCCCTGGCACGTGTATTCCCAGCACACAAACGCCTAAATCCAGATCAGCAGATCACTATGGCTGTATTCAGTTGCCACCATTAGGCAAATCCCAGAGGGCCATTAAGCATCCTGTTACCAAGCTCCAGAAATCAGGAGCCCAGCGAGTTCAAATAAATATATAGGTTTATTGCAGGCTTTAAGCCGTCTACAAGAATCTGAACTACTAACAGTCAAGGCAAATTGGTGGTAGATAAAGAATTCAAGAAGGGCCGGACTTAAGATCTCTTGTGGACACGAAGAGACTCGAGACTAGTGACACACCTGACCCCTCCCTTGGGTTCAGCCTGATCATCTCCTACAGATGTTACGTGTGTCAATTTCCTGCCAGCTTCTCCATTGACTTTGCATGTAGGAAGCCAGAAATGAAGGCCACGCTCAAAGGACCACTGGGACTGCTGGGACCATTTTAAGTAGAAGGACCATCCATAGGTCCCTGGTTCAGCATCACTATAGCTTACAATGGAGGCTGAAGAACTAGTTACTGAAAAAGGACTATCTATACAACCGAGAGGGCTCTAAGTTGTGGGGGGGAACCTCCTTACTGAGACTCACCTTTTTTCTTCACTTGGCACTTGACATCCGGGTGATCAATGACCTCGCAAACCGCGACACAGCTGAGAATCGGGCCCATTGCGCTTCGCTGCCAGCCCAGGCTATGCGGGCTGTAGAGAAGGGCCAGACTTAAGTCGCTGGTCAGGTAGGTGCCTTCCCCAAACAAGGAGGTCTGAAAAACAACGGAAAGGTCTCCATCTCCTTGACCAAAGAGCAATTCTAGGGCTCTTTATTTTATTCCTGGAAATTTTTAATTTTTTTTTTTTTTTGTATATTCCAGTGACCACATGCCCTTTACTACACAGGACGATGTAATAAATTTATTATCTTGGTTTTGCTCTTTCAAATTTTCCTCGGTTGTTCAGTGAACCACTGCAGTGGATCAGTTAGTAACCCGGATTGACTTTGGACAAAAAGGGATCACGTGACCTTGGAACACAGCAACGGTCCTAAGTACATGCCAGTTGCCAATTCTCTGAATTTTGATCACCTGACCCTGGGGAGTGCTGCTAAGGCCGTAACTGTGAAAAATGGCCATTTTTTTCCCCCAGCGCCGTTGTAACTTCGAAGAGTCGTTATGTGAACCGACGTAAGTTGAGGACCACCTGTGTAAGGGAAGATAGGACCTTTGCACAGAGGCCAGCTGCCCACCTTTCTTAAAGTAAGATTCGCCCCTTTTTCAGGACATTTGGGAATCCCAGGGATTCCAGATGGCTGGCCAGTTGCTCGCCTCACTTAAAGTGAATTTGACAATCCACTCCCTCACCTGGACTTCCCAGAGGTCTCAACCGCAGACCATGGGTCTCGGGCTGTGGGAGGCTCTGTCAGCTTTGCAAGGTAGTCCAGGCAGGAAGCACGCCAAGGTGTACTCATTCTACTTTATTGTAAGGTTACATTCACAGAATCTTGCAAGTCTGAAAGTCCATCTGCCCCCTTTACTGTCCAAGAAATTAGAGTGGGTGTCTTCTCAAGAGGTTTGCCCCACACACACACACACACACACACACACACCATTCCTTCTGCAGGCTAAACTGCTTCTTATCCACTGTTCTCCAACTATGGGCCTTCCCCATTTCCCAAGATCATGTCCACTTACTATTACAGTAGTCCTTGACTTAACAACAAGTCCATTTATTGACCGTACCAAAGTTACAACAGCACTGGAAAAAAAACATGGCTTATGGCCGGTTTTCACACTTACCGACTGTTGTGGCCTCTCCACGGCCACCTGATCAAAATGCAGATGTTTGGCAACTGACTCATATCTGTGACGGCTGCAGTGTCCTGGAGTGACCTTTTTTTTGTGACCGCCTGTCAAGCAAAAATCAAGGGGGAAGCCAGATTCGCTTAACGATGGTGTTACTAACTTAACAATTGCAGTGATTCACTTAACGGCTGTGGCAAAAAAAGGTCGTAAAATGGGGCGAAACTCACTTAACAACTTAGCAACGTAAATTTCGGAGTCCATTGTCAAGGACTACCTGTATGTCTTCCCAAAGAGCTGTCTGGTTTGCTAACCTAACAGAGGGGATGCTGGCCCAGAGATGCTTCTGGAGTGACCACCATCAGCCTCCCTGTCTCTCTTCCTTGGGTGGGAACCAAGCTCACTTCTTACCCTGTTCAGGTGGCACTGCAGGCCGTTGTGCATGATGGAATGGAAGTTCTCCAAGCGGCTCCCATGGAAGGCGTAGATGAGGTCTCTCCCCGCCTGAGTGTCCTCAAATTTGGCATTCATTTCTTCGCAGTAGGTGATTTCAAAGAGGAAGTCTGGCACCGGGACAGGCATGCTGGGAGCTCCCGCCAGTTCCTGGATCTTCTCGTACTGGAAGAACATCAAAATAGAGGGGAGTTATTTACACGGAACATCTATTTCACGTGTGCTTTTAAGCCCTTTTGAGCTTCAAGGTCTTCAGATTGCACCCAAAGGAAGGAGACACAGATCTGTATCCCCTCCCAAAAACTGGAGGGGGGAGGAATGGTTATTGGGGCCGTGAGAAGAGCATGTCAAGGACTGATGGTCAAGATAGACAGTGACATCCTTCTTGGTGTCCTTGACACCTTGCTTGCACCTCATTGTCCCAAAGTTGGACAGGACATCCAATCTCTGCTCTTCTTAAAAGCAATGCTATGCAAATCCTTTTGCTATTGTTTCTGCAACTGGTGCTGATGGCTACAGCCCACGCCCAGGGCTTAATTTTTCACTAAAATCCTAAAGGCAGAATAATTTTTTGGGCGGCTATTTCTTTGCAAAATAAAAAAAGTGTGTGTGGGGGGAAATAAACAATTCAACTTTTCCCAGATGAATTTCGGCTCTCAAAATAAACCCTTCATCTGAATTCTCTGAGTTGGATCTCTCATCTTCCATCCAGGAAATTCTCACCTTGGTTTTGCTGATGGCATGGATGCACCAGGCCTTAGAGGCCAGGATCCAGTGGAGCAGCTCCAAGTTTCTTTGGTCAGGATTTTGGGGAGAATCCAAGAGTTCTTGCAGGCTCCCTAATGCACTTGTATCTGCAAGCTGAGAGAGGAACACGGGAAAGGGATGGGTTGAGCTTTTCTACATGATCTCACGCTTCAAGAGCCCTCCAGTGGCTCAAATAAGTAATATTGGACTGGACCAGAAGGAGCACAACCTGCATCTGCTCATGCTCAGAAGACCATCAGCTTGTGAGGTTTGATCCGCAAGTTCTGACTCTCCAGGGACCCTCCCGGCCTGTGCCCACCGCTATCTCTGACCGACAGGGTGGGGGAAACTCACCAGAGCCTCAAAATCCTTGCTGTCCTCCGAGGCGTAGTGTCCTGGGAAAGGCCGGAGAACCGAGTCCCGCTTGTAGCTCTGCAGGGCAGAGGCAAAAAGGCTGCATTTCAGGTCTGCGGCCAAGAGGTCCTTCCGGATGATCTCTCGCACCCCTTCTGCGGTGGGGACAGCCTCGTCGGTGCTTGGGGCCGGCATCCCCAGGAGGCCCTGCTGAGGAGGAGGAGGAGGAGGAGGAGAAGGGGGTCAGCACAGAAGGCAGGCTGCATTCAGTACCCCTCCCCACCCCAGCAATGGGGATGGGGGGGGCAGCCCAGCCCTTTCCAAACAATTCCTGGACCCATTAAAGGTCCCTCATTACTACTACTACTACTACTATTATTATTATTTTGGTCATGTTTATGCAGTGTATATTGGAGGTGGTTATCCTTTGAGGGCTGTATGCAACGAAATCTCATTTTAAGTTATTAATGTGCATTTAAAGAGACAATAAAGTTATTATTCTATTCTATTCCTGGTCATCACATCCATGACAGAGAGAGAGTTTTTATTTCCCCCACCCGCCAATAGCCCCCGCCGTTTATTTATATATGTGTGTGTATGTGTGTGTGTGTGTGTGTGTGTGTGTGTGGGTCTTTGGTTATTCGGGTTTTTCTCCCATGTAAAATTGGAAGTGTCTTGGCGACGTTTTGACGAAGTCTCATTCGTCATCTTCAGGTTGGTGCTTTCGGCTTCGTGCTTCTTTACGTGGGAGAAAACCCGAATAACCAAAGACCTACATACAAACACCCGCGAAAAACCTCAGAAATATATATATATATATATAAAGACCTACATACAAATACCCGCGAAAACCTCAGAAAACAAATATATATATATATATATATATCTATATATATATATATATATATATATATATATATATATATATATATATATATATATATATATATACACATACATATACATATACATATATATATATACATATACATATATATATAAAGCCAACTGACAGGTCGGCATTCAACAGGTAAGGCTGTGCCCCCCCCCTCCCTGCTGCATCTAATCCCCACCCATCATTGCTCGGGGCTATCAGCATCTGAAGGTTTCCTGCCTCCCTCCCCGCAGCTCTGCAAGACTTACACCCTCGAGACCAGAAAGAAATCCAACCGGTCGAGTCTCTATTGGCACGTCTTCCCCTGCCGAACTTCTGCCAGTCGGTGGCTGGGTTCACAGGCTGCCTGCCGGACTCCTTGTCCCCGTGTGGAGGACCGGGGTCTCCCCTCTCCCACCGCCCACACTCCGGTCTCCCCCAGCCCGTCCGGGGCAGCAACTCGCTTTGACTTGGAAGAGGCAGAGCGCTTCCCTTCCAGGATCATCCCAGGTGCCTACTGAGCATGCGCGGTAAATCTCAGCCACGCTCACTAACAGCTGTTGAAGAAACACGCCCCTTTAGGAGCCTGCGCAGTCGTGCCAACTGAAGCCTCCCGAGCGCCCTTCCCGGCCTTCCCTCCCTCCGCATTCCGAGCATGCTCGCTACAGGATTATCCCGACGGAGGGCAGCCTCAGGCATGCGCAGTAGCAGCAGCTGAAGCGCCAAGGTGGGGAAGGCCCCTTGACTCTGCGCATGCTCAGGAGCAGCGAGTAAAACCGCTTTTGACCCGTTTTGCTTTGCTTTCACGTGGACGGGGTCGCCTCCCGCTTGTAGGTTGCAGCCGATGGACTGCATTAACTCATGGTTGATTTTAACCATGGTTTGTTGAGTGCACCCCAGCTGCCAGGGTCACACATAACGCAAAGGCAGCACCATGACTTAACCTGACTTGGTAAATATTGGGCAACTTGAGAGTTGCACTCCGGGCGCATTTGGAGGGGTTTAATTTCAGAGAGCCACAAACGGGAGAACAAAATGGAGGCCTTTAGCAACCTTCTCTAACGGTTGTTGCTCTCCCTGTTTAAATTCCACAGATTTATCAAGGCTTACAAGAAGTTTGGTGTTCCTTTGGAGCGGTGAGTGCCAGATTAGAGAGAAGGTGCAGTCTACTAAATTACAAGTGTAGAGATATAAGGAAAGGCTGCTGGAATTGGGTATGTCTAGTTTGATGAAGAGAAGGACATGATAGCACTGTTCCAATATCTGAGGGGCTGCCCCAAAAAAGAGGGAGTCAGGCTATTCTCCAAAGCACCTGAAGGCAGGACAAGAAGCAACGGATGGAAACTAATCAAGGAGAGAAGCAACCTAGAAATAAGGAGAAATTTCTTGACAGTGAGAACAATTAACCCATGGAACAACCTGCCTCCAGAAGCGGTGAATGCTCCAACACTGGAAGTTTTTAAGAAGAGACTGGACAGCCATTTGTCTGAAATGGTGTAGGGTTTCCTGCCTGAGCAGGAAGTTGGACTAGATGACCTCCACGGACCCTTCCAACTTTACTATTATTATTATTATATCAGGGAATTGGTTGGATGACGCTGCTGGGACGGAGCTGGGATTCATTTGATGATTTGCTGCCCGTTATCTAAAAATAAGAATAGGGTTTAAATATGGCATCTGTTTTCCACTGGTGTCATTAATGCCAAACACAGAGACCTGCTGAATGCACACCACAGAAAGAAAGACACGCACAAAGAAGATTTATTCTAAGGTTTTATTTTTTTGGTTCTTGGTATGAATAACCATGAGCTAAAACACTAAACAGAACATTCTATCAAAGATAAAAGAAATCTAGAATCTCCTCTCTTCTGTTTGTTGGCAAGCACAGAACTAACAAGGTCACTGAGATTTCAAAGGGCAAGAAAGGGAAGATAGAAAATAAACGGGGTAAAAATAAACGGGAGTCAGCATTATTCCAAAGAAGACCCAAATAGTTATCTTTCGTGTTAACGTGTATGGAAAGGTTAACAGCCAAAGTTTTAGGAAAGGGAGGTTCATCAATAAGCTTGGTTTAATTAATGCAACTACTACTTTGTCCAATCTTCTTAGATAAAGGGATTTCGGAGGCCCTCAGCAGGACGCCATGCAACCCAAGAAGTTCTTGGTGGTCTCCCATCCGAGTACTAACCAGGTTACTATTTTTGAAATCAGCTGACATTTCCTAGGTGCTGCTATCTGGTGGACTCAATAGGTTTTAACCCATTACATTTGTCCAAAGTCCCATCTTCTTTCTGCAAATAGTCCCCCTCCATTTTAATCCTCTCTAACTCCACAGTGTTTCTCAACCTTGGCAGTTTTAAGATATGTAGTTGGCTGGGCAATTCTGGGAATTGAAGTCCACACATCTTAACAAGTCCAATCAGCTCTGAGAATAGAGCAGAAATGGATTCTTCCAGCACAAATCAAAAGCAGAAGTGGCTGACGACAGCATGCAGATAGTCCTTGACTTTTGTTTATTGGAAATGGATCACATTTCGGGTTGCAAATGGCGATCACATCTACCCAGGATCCTATAACCGTCATAAATATATGCCGGTTGTCAAGGGCTGAATTTTGATCATGTAACTACGGGGATGTTGTGATGGTTGTAAGTGCGGGGACTGTTCATAAAACATTTTTTTTCAGTGCTATTGTAACTCGTCACTAAAAACATGGTTGTAAATCGAGGAGTAGTATGTACTTGCACTGGTGGGAAACTTCTAGTTGTGTTTTTAATTGTTGTTTCAATCAGGAAGGTGTGGCAGAGGAAGATTCAACTCAGACCAGTACCGATAATCCTCAAAATTATGACCATGTTTGAGCCCAACATTTCTGTTGCTAAGTGAGACATTCATTGAGTTTTGCCCCATTTTATGACGTTTCTTGACACAGTTGTTAAGTGACTCACTGCAGCTGTTAAGTTAGTAACCCAGTGGTAAAATGAATCCAGCTTCCCCATTGACTTCGCTTGTCAGACGGTCACAAAAGGGGATCACGTGACCCTGGGACACTGCATAACCGTCATAAGTATGAGTCAGTTGCCAAATGTCTGAATTTTGATCACGTGACCCTGGGGATTCTGCAAAGTCATAACTGAAAAATGGGCATAAGTCACTTTTTTTCAGTAACTTTGAATGGTCCCTAAATGAATCATTGTAAGTCGAGGACAATCTGCAATCTCTTGTCTAGCATGAGCCTTGTAGCCTGCTTGGTTTTTTGTTCCTTCAAGCTTTTGTGTTTTACACTTAAAATTCAGGCAGTCCTCGACTTACAACGGTTCATTTAGCGACCGTTCCAAAGTTACCGCAACACTGAGAAAAAAAAGACTTATGGCTATTTTTCACCCTTATGACTGTTGCAGCATCCCCAGGGTCACGTGATTTACATTCGGAGGCTTCATATTTATGATGGCCGCAGTGTCCCGGGGTCACGTGATCCCTTTTTACGACCGTCGGGACAAGCGAAATCAATGGGGAAGCCCGATTCGCTTAACACCGAGTTACTAATTTAACTTCAGTGTTTCACTTCACCAACATGGCCAGAAAAGCCGTAAAATGGGACAACGCTTGCTTAGCCAATTTCTCACTTAGCAACAGAAAATTTGGGCTCAATTGTGGTCATAAGTTGAGGATTCTTTGTACTCAGCCTTGGACATTTTTTTCCCTTTTCTTGGACATTTGCACCCTACTTCGTGGGAACCGCCGCTTAAACATGACTTAACTTGTGCCTTTTTATTTATTTATTTTTTTACAAAGTGGGATTTGGTGTCTGGGTGCTGAGCTGGATCAGAGCTGGCAACCCTCACGCTCTGAGGGAAACCTCAGAGGAACCAGACCTTGCTTAAAACAGAGAGTTGTGTGGGTGGCGGGAGAATCCTTTCCAAAACCTAGGTGGAAAAATTAAGGCCAAAGTCAGCTTTTCGTTTTCTTTTCCTTGGAGGTAGCGGCCATCTCTGCTGAAACAAACAGGTCAAGACTGACTCACGAGCAAAGAGAACACCCTTGGATGAAAAAGGGAAAGCACATTAGGAATTGCAGGACGTCTTCAACTTAAGAGCCCCAAATTTCTGCTGCTCAGCAAGACAGCGCTAAGCGAGTGAGTTTTGCCCCATTTTACGACTTTTCTTGCCGCGTATTTTAAGTGAATCACTGCACTTGGTCACATGGTTGCTGTTGCTTCCCTGATCTTGCATTATCAGTGAAATTGGCTGCAGAATTTACAACTGACTGAAAAAAAAAATACTCCCTTGGATCAAGATCAAGGATACATTCAGAAAAAAAGCTCACTTTGAGAGTTGGTCTATTAGGAATCTGTATGGCTATAGAATTTTTCAAAACATAAAGAGACACCCCCCCTCCCCCAAAAAAGAAACAACCAAGGAAAAACTAATCATCTAAAACACTGAATAAAAATATAACACTTGTAATAATACTTATAATAATTTTAAAGGTTCATGTCACTTGTCTCATATCAACAGAAATCTATAAAGAGGAAAGGGAAGGGAAGAAGGAAGGAAGGAAGGAAGGAAGGACACATGATGGGCTATTATAATCTCATAAATCAAATGGCAAAATCTTTTTCCTTTTAATTAAAAGGAAACAGTGACAAATATTTGTTTACAGTAACAGGACATGAAATTAAATTAAAAGCAGGCTCATACAGCCCTGTGGACTTGGAACTGAAGCTAGTCTAAAGAAGATGTGATTTTGCTTTGGCCACAGTTCTTTATTGATATTCAAGTTTTCACATTGTTTTATGATATGTTAAAACATGCTGTGGCAGAACGAACTCGCCATTCCAAAGAAGCATCTTAACATTCCGAAGAGAAATACAATCAGGCTAAACGCCCATTTTGTTTCTTTCATTTTTGTTTCTCAGATATACAATGTAAACTAAGCTATTTTAAGTTAGTGACGGTGTGAGTTAAATCTCAAAGGTTAGGTTTCTGCTTTAAGAGGGAGAACTAAATTTTCTTTTGAAAACTCCTACTAGAGATGCCACTGATGGCCGACTTAGGTTACCAAACAGGAGGAGAGGAGTGGGAATGGTGATACTGGAATTGTAGTCGACCCCAAGCAGAATGTGACTCAGCAGCTTGTGAAGCCACAAAGATGAATGCGTTTGTGGGTTGCATCCATAGAAATGCTGTTCTCAAATAACAGAGAGTTGTTCCATTGGAATCTGTGCTGCTGAGACCCTTCCTCCAGTTTTGAATCAGAAACTGGAGCAACCAGTGCAATCACTAGAAATCTTTTGAAGAGGGTCTGAAAACATTCAGACTACTTAATCCAGTGTTTCTCAACCTTAGCATGCTGGAGATGTGGGGACTGGCTTCCAGAATTCCCCAGCTGTGGAATTCTGGGAGCTGAAGTCCACACCCCTTCAGCTTGTTGATGCTGAGAAACACCTATTTAATGCTGAAGAGTTGTGGCAGCCTATAACGTCATGAAATTCCTGAAAGGGCTGAACATTCAACTTTTTGATTGCTCCTTTTTGGGGGGATTTAAGGAGAAAATTGGGTGTCTGAAATCTTCAAAGCTGTTAGGCCTCCATTTTCTCTCTTCAACATCCCCATGGGAAAAAGAATCAGCCCAATTTCAGGATCATACATCTTAAGGCTTGCAGGGTTTAAGGCATCTGTTCTCCCTCTTAAAGCGAAACCTTCATGAGGTCCCCAGATTTTAGATTTGCCCGACTAACTCTGAGAAGTGAGGGCCTTTTGTGACTTCTTGCCTCAAGTCAGTGAAGGCTTTTCAGAATGCCAAACAAGCCCACCCTTTTCAAAAACCTGGGACTTTCTGATTTTTACCACTATATGTAAGTTTGAAATAAATCGCTTTTTTCCAAAAGGCAGCTGGACCTTCCTGTTTTTTTCTTTGAAAATGTTTCGCTTCTCATTCAAAAAGGTTCTTCGGTTCCAACTTCAGAACTTCTTAGACGAGAAGCGAAATGTTTTCAAAGAAAAACAGCCTTTGGAAAAAGCACCTTTGAGACAACCACAACCTTTATGATGGGAGAATCTCCATAGACATTTGAAATAAATCCACTTTTCTTCCGTCTTTACTCCTCCTGTTGTCACCTTGTCACCTGTCTTCCCGTGATGCCAGAAAGATTTGAACGGCCATCTTGAAACTAGGGAGATCATTCCAGATACATTTTATTTCTTCCTCCTGTTTTAATGGATGCACGCACCATAAAATAGACAAAATAGTCGATAATGAGGAAACCAAGAGTAACAGGAAAGCCAACAGATCTCTTCAGGCAGAAAAATTAAGTCTTTCTTTTTTTTTTTGATCCACTTTTTTTTCTTTTAAAGGAAGGCTTAATACTGTAGCTGGTTGTGTCTTTAGACATTGCTTCTTTCCTCCATCCCAGTCACTTCTTTTTGTTTCTCTTTTCACCCAGAGTTTTAAAACATTTTCCTTTCAATTACCGCGTATAAAAATAGCTATAGGAATTCAACATTAAACAAAGAAAGAACATGATCATGAAGTGGCTATTCTAGAGGTGAAGAACGTCATCCATACAGTGTCAGGAAATTCATTAGGAAAGGAAAAGGGAACTGAATTAAGAGTCTCATTTCAGTTTTCACTGAAATGCTATTAAATGCTTTTTCCTAGGTCAACAGGGTGGGTGGGTGGATGGGTAGGTAGGTAGGTAGGTAGGTAGATGTTGAAAGTCTCCCACCAATAATCCTATTGGAGAAGTTCTTCTGATGAACAGCATTGCCTACTTGGACTGCTTCAACTGAGGTAGGTCACTCTATAAAGAAAATATGCTACATTCTAAGGTGACTTCCCCAAGCTAGCCTTCTCTAAACGGGTTGGGACTTCAACCCTCAGAATTACCAATCGACCTACCTAGGAATTCTGGGAATTGAAGTCCTGACACATCTGGAGGTGGCCAGGTTAGGAAAGGCCATGCTAAGGCTTTAAACATGTGGTCTATGACCATCTGTGCTGCCACCAGCGACCTAGAGGGCAACTAACAGAAGAAACAGGAAGAAATCCATCGTGGACATCACATCAAGGGCTTCAAGGGTTGTGAGGATCAGCTGGAGGCATCTTGTTAAACAGGCTGGTCTTGTGTCTGGTTTGCACACAGGCACACTACAGAAGTTAGGTTAGTGAGACCTTTGAACCAAAACACGATGTGCACATTTCACAGCTTTCTATATTTTGTGTGAGAAAAATGAACGGCAGCATTGAACATAAGCCCCATGTTCCAAAATTGTTCCCTTTCTTCTCCAATGAAAAGAGTTCAGACTGGAGATTGAAGGAAGATCTGGAGAGATTGCCTGCCACATAACACAAGTCAAATCAGGGTCTGATCAACCTGGGAGGAAGGTTCTGTGAACAGAAAGCATTGGCTTCATAGAGGGCCCTGGCATGACACAATGGTGTCTTGAATAAACTGTGATTGGAGATGTTCATAACAATGTGCCAAAGCCATATACTATGGTTGGTCAACCATAATAGCTAATAGTAAGCTATTAAGAGGTAAAAATAAAGGTTTCCCTTGACCACTTGTGTCCAACTCTAGGGGGTGGTGGTTCTTATCTCCACTCCTAGACAAGGGAGCCAACATTGTCCAAAGACACTTCCACGGTCATGTGGCTAGCATGACTATATGCCGAGGTGCATGGAATGTTGTTACCTTCCCACTGAAGTGGTACCTATTTATCTACTTGCATTTGCATGCTTTTCAAGTACTAGGAGAACAGGAGCTGAGGCAAGAACGGGAACTCAAACTGTCATGTGGTACTCGGGTCTCAAACTGCCAACCTTCCGTACGACAAGCCCAGCATCTTAACCACTAGGCCATTAGCTGGGTACTAATCCAAAGCCAAGTTAAGCATTTTGTTTCAACCCAGCCTAACGGGGGTCTTTTCAAACTTGACCCTTTTATGACTTGTGGACTTCAACTCCCAGAATTCCTCAGCCAGCGTGCTGGGAGTTGAAGTCCACAAGTCATAAAAGGGCCATGTTTGTAGACCCCTGGTTTAAGACGATCCTAACTCAGCTCTAAAGCAAAAATGAAAGTTATTTTGGTTCAGCTCCTCCATTATATAAAACAAAGAGTCCTTAATGTAGCGAGCATTCCATGAATGTGCATGTGGCAAACCAGCTTTGAACAATGTACCTTGAATATTGAACAATTCTTCAGTAGTAACCCGTTTATAGTGGAAGTTATTTTTAGGTGATTGGCAGCCTGCCTTTTGCTACAATCCTAACAATCATGAGAGTTTCCTTTGTTTAGAAAAAAAAAGTCATGGTATAAAACAATTCTTGACACAGTAAAACTCTGCACAAGTTAACTAGCAACTTGCCTAAAAGTAAAGCTTATCACACTAAGGGGGACTCTCCTCAGTGATCACAACGCTCTTCTATCTCTTGGGATGCTGGAAGTGAGCAGGAAGAGGGAGAGAGAGAGAGAGAGAGAGATGAGGCGTTTGGCTGGAAGGACACCCAGCGCTTCTATTAAAAAAAATGTCTTGAGGTAGAACATTGCTTTCAAGGTTTTGGAAGTGCTTTACATTGGAACAAGGATGATAATAAAAGGTTATTTTAAAGAGGGGGAGGGAGAGGAAACATTAGCCAATGACTAACATGGTGGACACGGAGTGTGACTTCTGAGGTAGTACCAAAACACGTACTGACCAAGTGCTACACTACTTGCGTTGAAGACAAAAGGAAGACACAAGATACGTTTGCCTCTTCCCAAAAGACATTCAATTCCGGTTGAGGTAGTTCTGAATTTACTTCAGGGGTTCATCCAAGTCTTTTCTTTCTTTCAAGAGCCCTTCTCCAGGCCTGGTTTTTTTTCTGTTTTTTTTTTTTTTGTCACGTTCACTTTGTCTTTGAAGCAGTTCATCCACAAAAAAATTATCCTGAGAATTATGAATGGACACGACCAAAATAAAAAAGAAAAAAAATTGTGGCTCTGTTGAACCCTCCATGTTGGGGATACAAATCGGGAGGTCCTTCATCGTGGATTAATTCAACAAGATTGCCAAGATGGATCCAGAAATGATCATTCTAAAGCTGCAAGCGAAGGGACACATTGGTGAACCCCAAGATGGTACTGATCTCACGTGGTGTCAAAGGTTACGGAGGGGTGCTCCAGTTCCTCTTGAGAGAAGTCACTAGCTTGGCAGCTGTAGAACGAAAACGGAGATCCAGATGGGTAGATATGGGCTACAAGCCTGAAGCAGGTCAGAAAGATCAACTTCATAAGAGATTCCACAAAGCTGCGTACAGATGATGCGGAAATCAGAACTTTTACATTGACCTGAGATTTAGTGTCATCTTAGAGACATCACCAAGCCCAAAAAATTAGTGGCTGGTATGTCCTATAGGAAGTCTGAGCTATCTTGGCAACTTATCCTTCATTGGTCGGAGCTTGCTTCAAAGCTGGTTCTTCTTGGTTGATGTTGAGCAGAGGCTGGCCGTTTGGGCCAGAAGGTACATTTGGAAACAAGGTGTTGTCCTCTTCCTCAAGGATGCTAAATTCCTCTGGTGGAAGTGTGGATACCTGGATTTCAATAGGTGAAGTATTTGGAATGTGATCCAGCTGAGAAGGCAATGGAAAAAAATTGCTGTTGGAACTCACAAAGCCTGCTCAATGACATTTGTTACAAAATGCAAGAAAAACATGAAGACGAATGAATATGAATATACATGTCCCAGGATAGGATTCGATCTGGGTTGGTCACCGGGCTCAGAGTTTTTGTCTTCCAATCTTTCAGATTTGTACTGGAGCCCATCTTCAGCACTTCTCTCTAGCAGAATGTCTGCTGTTCTGTGTGTCGCCCCATAGATCACACACAGGCCACACATAGAACGGCACACACACTGCTGGAGAGAAGACCCTTGTGGATAGGGCTCCAGTACAAGTCTGAAAGTTCAGAAGACAAACATTCTGGTCCTGGTGACTAATCCAGATTGGATCCTAGAACATGAAGAATTCATTCAAATTACATCCAGTGTTATTTTCTATTGATTGTGCCACACCACCCACGTTGCTACTTCCCACCCATGTGAACACCTTTGGGATTTGCCATCTTATCAAATCAAAGGCTGTCTGTCCTTGAAGCAAGCGACCCTTAATCCCAGCCAGAACTCCAGTGCCAGCTGTGGCCAAGAAAGCCTTTGTCTGTTGTGGCAGATGTGTCATTTCCTAGATTTGGAAGGGGGCCTTCAGTCATTCATGCCCTGGTCACCTAAGGTTTGATGACTGCAATGCATTCTATATTGGACTGCTCTTGAAGACCATCCAGAAGCTTCAGCTGGTCTAGAAAGCAGTGGGGTGGGCAATGATGGACTTGCCTTGGTATGCCCAAGTTGGGCAGCCTATACATGTGACAGATAAATAAATAAACCCCTCACACCAATTAAATCCCATGGTTCCCTCTATTCTCTCCCATAAAGAAAGTCAAATCTGCAAAATAATCAAATACATCTGCACATTTCCTCTGCTCTGTTTTCCATCCTCATCTCTTTTCTGCTTATGGTTCTGCCCTGTTACTGTTTAGATCAATGGTTCTCAACCTTTTCTTCACCATAGACCCCCCCCCCTTTAAATACCTCTTGTGCCATGGACCATGGCTATGGGCCACCAAGACTTAAGTCAAGATTTAAAGCACTAAACTGCATCAAGACTTTGTGGACTCCCTGTGATGACATCACAGACCCCCCCCCCAGGAGTCCAGAGACCACAGGTTGAGAACCAGTGACCTAGATCATTCATTGTTTGGCCTTCTTAATAATTTCTCCCTTTGACTTTGCCTGCGTTGAAAAGGTGTAGCAATCACCCGATTGCAATCACTATATCCTCACAGCCCTTATTTGACCCATTGAGAGGTTAGGGAACAGGGGAGATCAGGGCCAAGCAAAGAAGCTTTGGACTCTGCAAATGAACTAGCTGAGGATTGATGATCACAGACAACAATTGCTACATGAAAAAAACTAGCCACCTATATGGTGCTTTGGGGCAGGGATTTCAAACTTTTATTAGTTAATAGAGAAAATTCTGGAAGACCCTGATCAAGAGGCAAAACTAAAGTGATGGAAAACTGGCTACATTCAAGTGTGCATTCAACAACAGGAGGAAAAAAGAGACTCAAGGTAGGCAGAAATGCATGCCTCTCTCTCTGATATATACAACACCAGTGTTTACACTGTACAACAAAAAAAAAGCTGAACAGCATTCCAGTTCCACAATGCTTTTTCTTACCGCTATTCCCTTTGTGTGCAGACTGGGTGGGGAATGCAAAGCTGGGAACAATCTTTCCAGTTCATTCATATCCAGCTGTTTCCCATTGACATCTGGATCGTCCCTCTTAGTAGACCCGTTTACAGCCTGGCCAGTGACATTTCTCGTCCCTCTCGAAATCTGCGGGGTTGACAGCTGCTCCTGCGCGTTTTTACACATCAGCAATCTGCTAAAAATGAGAGGGAGAAAACAAATACATCAAGGTTGCCTTTGGATCTCTTGAAGCCCTGTGCCCACACACTGGCACCCCAGTGTAGAGACAACATTGAGCTAGCTCTGTGTTTTTCAAACTTGGCCACTTCAGCTCCCAGAATGCCCCAGTCAGCATGGGGAACTAAAGCCTACACATATTAAAAGTGGTCAAGTTTAAAAAAACCACTGAGCTAGATGGATCAAGAACCTGGCTTGGAAAAAGACAGACTCCGATGTTTGTTCAGATAACCATTGCTCCGCGATAGAGGACCCACAGGGTGGAAGATTCCCCTACTTCAGTTTTGCAGACTGTATGGCCAGGCTGCTTTGCAGAAGTGCTACTGGCCACTGCAGGAGCATGAAGTTACGAAAACCTACAGCAGGGGTAGTCAACCTTGGCTCTTTTATGACTCGTGGACTTCAACTCCCAGAATTCCTGAGCCAGCATGGCTCAGCATGGAAACCTCTCCCTTTCCCCTCAGCATGGCTGGCTCAGGAATTCTGGGAGTTGAAGTCCACGAGTGATAAAAGAGCCAAGGTTGACTACCCCTGACCTACAGGCTGACTTGATGCACCCAATTCACGAAACTCTTATGTCTTATCTAAATTGCCCGGCGACAGAGCTAAAAACAAACGTTGGGCAGAAAGGGAAACGTACCGTCCTCTGTAGCCAAACATGAGGAAAAGGACACAGAAGATGATGCAGGTGACCCCAATGTGGATTCCAATGATGATCCCAGTAGCTGATGTTTTGTTGGCCGACTCATCCTTCATGCAGTTGCACGGTGGGTTGAGGTCTAAGGTTGGTGAGAAAGAGGAAGGGAAAATCCCTTACACTTCGGACACAAATTGTAGGAGAGGAAAGCACATCCCCGGCGTTTTCCGTCACATCACTCGTAGAGGCAAGACGAGCAAGACAAAGAACTGTGTTCAAGTCAGAGATGTGATGCCATTCCTGACGTATCGTATTTCTTGCCCATACCTTGCCATTCCTGCAGATGCGAGGGCCCTGCCTCTTTTGGGGGAGATGACCATCCAAGTCTTTTGAGTAGAAGATGGTGCCCTTACAATTTAAAGCAATTAAGGGAAGCTTAATATCAGAAAAGAAGCAAGGCTTTTTAGGAGATGCTTTGAACTGTGGCGTCCTTGATGCTTCTGAGCTTGGCTGTTTGCAGATGTTTCATCACCCAACTAGGTCATGTCTTCAGTGTGAGAAAGTGTGGGGTTCGCTGCCTGTTTACAAACCCCGCAAACGTTCACACTGAAGAGCGTTAGGTTTCATTAGTTGGGTAAGGAAACATCGGCAAACAACCAAGCTCAAGAGAGATTCCACTAAAGACTCCACAATTTAACCCTGAGCTACAGACATTCTCTTCTATTGGATAACTTGAATATAGAAGATACACACGGAAACAACAATTACTGGAAACATTTTCTGGATTGGTTTATTTATTTTTTGTGCTGAAAACGGACTAACACGAATGAATCAATGATCTTGGGATTTGCTGATTAAAAAAGCTCATTTATAAGAGGGGAACCAAGAGATGACATTTGGGAGGTAGGAATGCCGGTAGCTGCTACTAAGAGGAACACAAGTCATTTTTTTAGATCCTTTTTTCTCCTTTTCTTTTTCTCTTACCTTTTAAGATCTTTTTCTTTTCTCTACTCTTTAAGTTTCTGTAGTTTTTTTTGTTTTAAATTCCACATGCATTTCCCCCCCCAATAAATATTATATGCAAGATGCAACACAATTTTCTCAGTTGTCTTTTGGTCCTTTCTCCCCTTCCCACCTCTCATTCTGCAACCTCCAAACATCTCAAGGCTCCTTAAGGTGAGTTGAGCCTCTCACCTGTTTTTTCCACAGTTTCTCGAAGGGACACAAAACGGACGGTAGCGTTCCCATCGCCGTGTTGGTTGAAAGCAAGCAGTTTGACTTCATACACCACTGCTGGATCTGAGAGAACATGGAGACGGGGGAAGATACAGTTAGGTCAATCAAGGGCAGGGATGTGTTCAGTGTGCTAGGCAAAGCCATTGCTGCTTTCTGTGGCATCTGTGTCAGACGTGGGAAGCTATCAGCCTTGAATAACCCCTTTGGGGGGTCTTGGGAACTCCCCTACACAAGTCTCAAAGATGCTTTTTCAAAAGGTAACTGGACTTCCTTGTTTTTCCTTGAGGACGTTTTGCCTCTCATCCAAGAAGCTTATTTTTTTTATAGATATTTTATTGGTTTTTAACTATAACAAATTTCCAGTGCCTGGTGTACAGCGTGTTGTCTTGGTTTACATTTTAACACGAAAAAAAGGGTCAGTAATAATTAACGGTCGATAATGATTAAATTAGATAATGCCTTAATGAATATATTAATTAATAATACATTTCTTTGATCTTCCCTTCTCCCATTTGTATTTTCCTTCTTCAACCTTAGCCAAAATATAATACTTAATATTTTCAACATGTAAAGGATTAAGTATAGGCATTTTTATATTTATACAAATAATAATCATCTCTATACATTCCTCTTCTCTACTCACCAAGATGAGTAATGTTGCAAGAGGTGACGTTGCTGGACAAAAGCATGGGTCCTGTGAAGTGAGGAAGGTGGACTTTGCGATAGTAGAGTTTGAACCCTTCGTGCTGGCCCAGTTTGATGGAAGGTTCCCACATGGCTTGAACGGTGGTGCTGTTGAGAACTTTAATGAAGAGAGATGGCACTGCTGGTACTGAAAGAAAGCAGAAAGCAAAGAAGAATGAGGCAAAGTCTTCTTTCTCCTAAGCTCAAAGATACTCTGGACCAACCCCCCCCCATGAAATAATACATTTATTTATTTATTTTAGAACATTTATATAGCTGCCTAGCGACTCTAGGCGGCTTACAAACAGTAAAAATACAAAATAGGAAAAAAATAAATAAAAAGAATGCACCCACCCACTCCCCCAACGACAGCACACGCTTAAATAAACCACTTGATGGGCTCCATTGCATTCTGCGTTCCCACAATTTCAGGGCCTTCCAAAAGACTGCCAAAGTGGGGAGGGGCAGTCTAATTTCTGCAGGGATGACGATGTTCCAAAGGGAGGGAGCCACCACAGAGAAAGCCCTTCTGCTAGATCCTAGCAGATGTACCTCCTTAAGGGACAAAACCCAGAACATTCCTTGCCTCCCTGCTCTAGTGGGTCAGGTGGATGTGACTGGCAGGATATGATCCCTCAGATTTTATCAAATATATTTCGCTGCGACCCCTTGCCTTAAACCAGTGTTCCACATAAGCAACCCTCAAGCTTCAGGAAGAGCCCCCAGATGTTACTTTGGATGTACTCTTGATCTGAAGGAAGCACAGCGGTGGCTCGTAAACATCTGAACCTGAAGCTGATTCTCCCTACCTTCTCCCAGGGTGCTGACCACCACGACATCAGAGGCCTTGCTGGCACCGCGAGAGGTGTAGGCTTTTATATAAAAGCTGTAACTGGTGGAAGGCTCTAGCTCGGTCACAAGCTGCTGGAAAGTGTTTTTACTGACAGCCTCTTGATATTCCATTTCCACTGGGTCTGAAATACAAGAGGAATGAGTCAGGGAGGGAAGGGAAGGGAAGGGAAGGAAGGAAGGGGTCCAGGGAGCCACCAATTGGAAGAAATTTGTACCAGGGAGCCCCTATAGATCTGCCTCCAATTTCTTACGTTCTCTGCCACCAGGAAAGGCATTTTGAGAATTTGGGCCAGAGCATGGCTTAGAATCAAGGGCCAATTGTTAATTTCTCTGATGAATTTATTGGGAGATGGAATCTCTCCAATTGATCTCCAGACTCTCTGCCAGCTTCCTTCTTAGGAAGGCCTGATGTTAAAAAAAAAAAAATGGCATGTTGCATTTTGCCACTAGATGTCAGGCATGCCAAAACCTTGTTCTTATTCCTCACTAGCTGTACCCAGCCACGCGTTGCTGTAGTTCAAGAAAGAAAAAAGAAAGCGCACGTTTGTAATATGTTTAATTTCACAATGCTTGTGGGTATACAATATTTTTTTGTTGTTCCATTTTGTGTGCAGATATAGAGATTACGTCCAACAGATGGCGCTGTTTTTCAAAACATGTTTTTACCTGTTTTTTTTTTTTTTAAAAAAACATGTTTTTACCTGTCACAGGTGTGACATCTATATAATGTAGGTATATAAAAACACCATTCCATTCCACACCTCATCATTCCATCAGTGACCATCCTTGAGCAGGTCTCCCATAAAAACCTCTCCTTGGAAAAATAATTAACTGCTATCCCTCTGCTTGGGAACGGCCAGTCAGAAGTGCAAGAAAAGGCATTCTCTGTACAGCATGAATATGAGCAGTCCTGGCCCTTCTCCGCCATCCCTACCTGCTGCTTTTCTAATGTGCAGGACGTAGCCGATGATCTCCTTGGTGTTTTGCAATGGCTCGCTCCACAGCAGTTGGACGGTGGTCGCCGAGACGGAAGCTGCTTTCACTTCTTGAGGAGGACTAGGAAGTCGGTCGGCCCACAGCACGGTCAAGCGGGCACTGGCTTGGGTGGAGCCCGCACTGTTTTCGGCGATACACTGGTAGATGGCCTCATCCGCCTGACCAATGTTGGAGATGGTGAGCGTGCTAGATGGGAAACAATCAGACCAGGCAAGATTAGCATTTTCTACCAAGCCCCCCTAGGACTCAGCCTTTCTCTTGACCCCATTCACATGGCCCCATGCAGACTAGGTTCAGAGTTGAAAAGGGAGTAACGGAAGTCTAGAAATTTGGCTGCTGAGATGATTTTAGCAAAGCACCTCTGCGAAGTCCCAGACTGAGTGCAACTCAGTGGTTAAATTCCTTCTCTCCCCAAAGTGAGAAGCTGAGAGAGATTAGGGATGAGGGCAGTTTCCTAATCCAGGGGAGTGCAACCCTGGGGACCACCATAACAGATGATGCAAAGGTGACTTAGGCTATTTTCTGTTCTTTTGGTGCTGTGGGACTTATGAGAAGACTAGAGCTAAAACATATGAAGAACAGTTGCAGGAACTGGGTATGCATAGTCTAATGAAAAGATGGACTAGGGGTGACATGATAGCAGTCTTCCAATATCTGAGGGACTGCCACAAAGAAGAGGGGGCGGGGATCAACCTATTCTCCAAAGCACCTGAAAGCAGAACAAGATGCAATGGATGGAAACTAATCAAGGAGAGAAGCAACCTGGAATTAAGGAGAAATTTCTTAACAGTGAGAACAATTGATCAGTGGAACGACTTGCCTTCAGAAGTTGTGACTGCTCCATCACTAGAGAATTTCAAGAACAGATTGGACAGCCGTTTATCTGATAGGGTAGAGGGGCTGCTGCTTGAGCAGCAGGTTGGCCTAGAAGAACTCCAAGGTCTCTTCCAACTCTATTATTCTGTTAAGATGTTAGTAGCAACTTCGGAAGAAGAACCTCCACTTGAGCGGGCAAGACCCAAGTCATCATAGCATCAGGTTTTCTGAACATGACTAAAGCATGCCAGGAAGCCAAGGAGACAGCAATCTTGACCTACTGCTGCTCAGGGGTTTTTTAGAGTTGGAAGTCAAGCATACCAGGAAGGCAATAGGTTTAGGGAAGGTGGTTAAGCCACTGACCTGGAAGTAGACGTCACAGAACACAGTAAGCCTTTGTGCTCAATGCCGAACACCCTGCCTGATTCACTAATCCCGGGAATATTCCCTACTCTAAGATTGAGCATCCCAAAACTCCATTTTCATCCCTGACTTTATACAAACTTTTGCAAAATGGGAGAATCTCCCACAATCCCAGAGGGAGGCTAAGCCAGGATCTTCGCCAAAATGCAGCACGGAGGTGAGGCTTGCAAGCCATAGGCCCCCTCCCAAACCGTGTAACACAATGTTCAGAATCAGATTTTCAAAACGTTCCCAACCTCTTTTCATGAGACGCAAAAAGGGAAACTGTCAAGAACACTTACCCTGTCGATAGAGAATGCTAATTATTTTAGTATACTGTAAATGAAATAAAACAGATTATGCTTTTCATCCTCATCCTTCCCAAAGAGCAAAGGGAGCCTTTAGCATGGAAATACACACGCAAGCACACACGCACACCCTGAAAAGGGGGTGTGCTCTTCCCCCTTGCAACAGCAAACATTAATTCCCTCTCGTGGGTCGCAGCAGCAAAACACCCCAGGGAAGGCAGAGAATTGCAGACCTGATGTCAAGCTTTTTGCAATCAGCCAGGATCTAATTTATGTGCAGGCTCCATCTGGCACATGTGTGAAACAGTTTCTATGTAAAGAGGCTCAGCCCCATAGAGCAGAGAGGCGTGGGGGTTGGGTGAAGAGGGGGGGAAGGGATGATAAAACATGACAGAGCCATGAAGCTGACCCATGTGGCTGTGAAAGGAAGGGGAATGTCAGCTGTCACCTCCCGCCTCCTCCCTCCCAAGTAAATCTGCCTGGTACACAAACCTGGCAAGCAGAGAAAAGAGAAATGTTACACCTTTCCCTACAAATCCCAAAGGTTTGAGGAAGGTCCTGGAAAATGCTGCAAGCAGTTCTGGATAAGTCCAGCAAATCACCCTGTAGGACAGGCTTGTGAGTGGCTTCTTACGGGGAGGTGAGTGAGCAAATGGTACACTAGATAGGGAGACAGACACCAGCTTGCTCCAAAAAGCACATCCTGCACTGAGGGGTCATTGGTGCTCTCTGAGCTTGGTGGTTTTCTTGCAGACGTTTCATTACCCAACTAGGTAACATCATCAGTGGTAATAGGGAGTGGGCTTTACAAAGAAGAGGAGAATGGGAGGAGGAGGAGGATTGTGGGGTCCTTGGTGCTCTCTAAGCTTGGTTGTTTTCTTGCAGACATTTCACTAGGTAACCTAGTTAAAATGTCCGCAAGAAAACCAGCAAGCTCAGAGAGCACCAAGGACCCTTCATTTCAATCCTGAGCTACAAATATCCTCCTTCATTGTATCTTCAGTGGTACCACTCCCTGCTAGCACTAGTGCTTTTCCCTTTCTTTTCCCCTTTATCCTACAGTCTTTTCCTTCCCTTGTTTTCCAATTCCTTTTATATTTTTCTTTCTATTTCTGTATTCTATGTTTTAATAAACTGATAAAAATTTGAAATAAACACTATCAGCTCTGGGCCCAATGACCTTCGGTTCCCACTGCTGAGTTATTATTGCTATGGCTAGCTGGACTCTCATCCACATTCCCCCTCCCAGCAGCAACTAATTCTAAAAGCGATGGAGAAAATGGCTGCATTTCCATCTGTTCTCAAAGCAAGAACATCTGATGTTAGCAGCGTTGAGTTTTGCCCCATTTTACGACCTTTCTTGCTACAGTGGTTAAGTGAATTGTCACAACCGTTAAGTCAGTAATACGGCTGTTAAGTGAATCTGGCTTCCCCCATGGGCTTTGCTTCTCAGATCGCAAAAGGGGATCACGTGACCCCAGGACACTGCAACCGTCATAAGTATGAGTCAGTTGCCAAGCCTCTGAATGTTGATCACGTGACCATGGGGGTGATGCAACAGTTATGAAGTGTGAAAAATGGTTTCAGGGCTGTTGTAACTTCAAATGGTCACTATACAAATGGTTGTAAGTCAAGGACTGCCTGTGCCTGCATTAAGGAAGAAAAGAGCAGAGGAGCTAAATGTTGGGTTTTGATGAGAAGGCTAGCAACTATCCCTCTGGAAGATTCCCAGTGTCAGGAAACATTCCTTCCCTTCCACTTCCGCGATGCCTTGCAGATGCTTCATGCTTCTGCAAAAAGATGGAAAGAAAGAAAAAGAGAGAGAGAGGTGAAGAAGAGCCAGATGTTCCAGCTTGTACAAGACTTGCTTCACAAGAGGAAGATCAATGCTCCTTCTGCAGCAGCTGTCCGAGATGAATGAAAGGCTCTCTCGCCAAACTCCAAACTTCACTAGCAAGGCCAGACTGGTTAAGGCGCTCACAGACAGCAAAGACCAGGCATGCTGGACTGTTTAATTTTCATGCTCCAGTTGCTAAAGGTGCAACCAGCAAGCTGGAGAAATCTTGCATTTAGCTGGTGTGCAATAATACTGGCAAACATAGAAGGCCGTCCTTTGGCGGGTCACACCCAGTTGTGCAAAGCATGTAAGCCAAGGGTAGGGGTGGGGAACAGGGCAGAGAGAGAAGGAGAGACAGAGGACAGCCCCTTCCCCCCCCCCCACTGAAAAGAAGCCTGCTCACACATGGATGCTTCAACCAGGAGTTGACAAAGTTTTGATGAATTAAATGCTGCCTGTAACCTTTGGAAGGAACTGAAAACCATCACAAGTATGGACAGGACTTAGTTTTGGGAGTGTGTGTCTTTATTTTTTATCTGGACAGCAAGTCTAGTCATCATGTAGGCAGATTTTGAAAAGCTATAAGCAGTAATTAGGGATGGGACACCACCAGGACAACCCAGCGCAGCCAACTACACTAAGCCACCCACTCATTGAGAGCGATTGGGTGGCTGTCCAAATTTTCTTAAATACTACAGCTAGCTAGACTATTTTCCAAAGTTGTTCCTGAAGGGTTTCTGGAAGTTTTAACTGGTGCAAAAGGAGGATGTGGGTTTATTACTAAGTGCATGACATCAGAAGTCCATTAGGCCTAGGCTGAAAGGCATATGTGAGTTGTCCATGGCTTAGGAGCAAAATAATCTTAACAATACCTCCGAAACTGGAATATTGTTTCTGGTGCAATATATTCTTAACCCAATCCATTCGAGAAGGAACCAGTCCCCCCACCCCAACTTAGAAAAGAGGATTTAGGATTTGTGGGTCTCTGGGGAGCGAAGGGGGAGGGGCTCATAAGATGCAAATTTATGGAGCAGAGCAAATGACACCTGAGTCCTCGGGCAAAGGCTCTGAATTGCTTTTTGGCAGGATTAATGAATGAAATCCACTTAATTACCATTTTGTAAATACAATCTCCCAGCAAGGAATGAAAAATCGATATTAGGAGCTTGCTTTTGCTACCTGCTGTTGCGATAAATGCATTCCAGTAACACAGACCCTTTAATGCAATTTATATTCTGAGTTTGCACATTACGTCCCCTAGCATATGCACATGTACACACACACACACACACACACTCCTGATACACACAACTGAGCCTGGAGGCAGAGAAACAAAGAGCTTTCATTGGTGACTGGCTTCCCCCCCCCTCTTTTCCCTCCTGCTCTGAGTGTGTTACACGAGCAGCTTACTCCCCCCCCCCCCCGCAGGACACTGCAAGATCACAAGCAACCTTCCCACCCCTAGACCTCCTCCCCCCACACATCCCCACCACAACACAAATGTGCTGTTGGATTGTGATTTTTGAATGTGACCGAAGAGGAGGAAAAAAGGGTTCAAATATTTAGGAGCAATCGCACCAATTCTCTTTCATTAAATGACTTCCATTCTGATTATGCACATTAATTGCAAATGTAATTTAAATCAAAATTAGCTTTCCCCCTGGTTCAATCTCTTCTTTTGTTCTCTTCTCTTCCCTCCCCAGCCTCCGTTTGTTGGCACGATGCTCCTGACAGGCCAGTCAAAAGCAAAAACCGAGAACAGGCTGGCAGAAGAGAGAAAAAAGCAGAGAGGGTGAAAAGGATGCAGCCGTTGATCTGCCAGCATTTGCAAGCTTGGGGAGGTGCGATGATGGCAGCCTTTCATGTAGAACCTCTCCTTGCAAGGAAGGCATTACACAAGTTACAACCAGCTTTACAACTTTCTCCAAAAACTTTGAGTGTGATCCCTGAGCCCCTCCAGAAGCTGATGCCAGATTGACTGCCACTTTTAAGGAAGCCAAAGTGGGATTTTTAAAATTATATTTCAATAACAGCCTCAAAGGTGCTTTTTAAAAAGACAACCATGACCCGGATGACTGAGAATCTCCACAGACATTCCAATAATAGATTGTTGTCCCAACTAACTTTTTCTTGGCCACTCCTACTCTGGACACTTTTCATGGGTTTGTTCCTATCCCACTGCTTGAAAGTTGAATTTCAAGGACCCACACTTAATAAGGGTGTGCATTCCTGCCATAAATTGTACCAAGATGACTCATCTCATAGAACGTAGAATAATAGGATGGGAAGGGACCTTGGATGTCTCCTAGTCCAACCTCCTGCTCAAGCAGGAGATCTTATACCATGTTGGGACACAAAACAAGATGGACACGAGGCGTTCTCCAACCAGATGTTTTCCAGACAGGACTGCAGTTGCCAACTTCTCCTTCCACTCTGGCACCTGACTAACAATCAACATGGTGGGGAAATGTTGGTGGTTGCAACTGAAGCTTTACAACGTCAACAACACAACAACAATGGAGTGGTTTCAGTAACACCCCCTTTGGCCACCCCCTTGACTTTTTGGACCACCCCCTTTGGGACACCCGAGTCTGCCTCTGAGAAATTTCTCTTTTTACTTTTTGCTGGTGTTCACAGACTTCCAGTCATATACTTAACCCTGTTATCTTTCATTAAGGGATTCTATAACCTAGAGATTTATAGCTTGGCCTCTGTTATTTCCCCGGCATTGTTCTGTATTATTTCCATAGAAACCGAGCCCCCTGAGTGGCAATTTTCGCACTAGGCTCAATCTACCCCGCTATTTCCAGGATACAAACATTGCGTTCTTCTAGCACAGGAAAACTAGGGTCGCGTAAGCTTTGCTGAGAAACAAGATTGTGCTGATGAGAAAAGGGCCACGTTCAGAGAGAAGCAGCTACAAGATTATGATGATCTCCAGGAACATGGAGTGCAGATTCAGTTGGACAACCTTGGTCAGAAAAACAGGTGCAAGCCAAAGGATGAACCTATCCTGGAAGACCACCTAAAATCAAAGGACCTTTTTCCATTACCTGGAGGTCAGACTCGGTAGTCAAAGGTTCCCTCTGGAAGAAGACAATAGCAAGCCACCTCCATATTGCTGTCAAGGAACTGGCTAGTTTGTAGGAATTGACCCTGACTTAATCCTGATATCTGGTAGATCCAGATCCAACCACCAAGCTCACTTCTCCCTCTACTGGATTCGCTGCTGTCTGCAGAGAATCTTACCTATTGTGGTTCTTCAGTTTAATGTGCTCACTTGGCTCCAAAATCTGCCCGTTCTTCAACCATGTGATCTGCGGGGAAGGTTCTCCTTGGGCCAAGCAGGTAAAGATGGCAGTGGTGCCCACAGGTCTGGCAATTGACTGAGGATGCTGGACAAATTCTGCAGGAGCTGGAAAAGAAAAGTGAAAGACACCTTCTTTGCTTGACTTTGGGCAGAGGAATTGGAAGAAATGCACTCCTGGTTTTCCTACACAGGGAAATGATTAAGAGCTTCCAAATAAATATTCTCTTCTGGTCACCATGGAATAGAGGAATCACTGACAGGAACAAGACAAGAGTCTTCTCCAGGCTTTGTTTAAACTGGAGAACTTCCTACCACAAGAAGATCACCATTGGTAAAGTCTCTGGAGATATTTTGCTAACTATTATAAAAAAGATGTTGAGACTCTAGAAAGAACGCAGAGAAGAGCAACAAAGGTGATCAGGGGACTGGAGGCTAAAACATATGAAGAACGGTTGCTGGAATTGGGTGTATCTAGTCTAGTGAAAGAAGGACTAGGGATAACACAATGACAGTGTTCTAATATCTGAGGGACTGCCACAAAGACGAGGAGCTCTACCTATTTTCCAAAGCACCAGAAACCAGACAAGAAACAATGGATGGAAATTAATCAAGGACAGAAGCAACCTAGAATTAAGGAGACACTTCCTAACAGTGAGAATGATTAATCAGTGGAACCGCTTGCCTTGAGAAGCTGTGGGTGCTACATCACTGGAAGTTTTTAAGAAGGGACTAGACAGCCATTTGTCTGAAATGTTATAGCATTTCCTGCTTGGGAGGGGGGCAGACTAGAAGACCTCCAAGGTCCCTTCCAACTCTGTTATTCCTACTTAGGAAGTTATATCCTTCAAAAGCTGGGTAAATAACATACTTAGTGAATTTGTGCACAATAAATTCAGCCATAAATAACCCAAGTATCTCAGATTCACATCAAAGGCTAAGCCAGAGTTTCTCAACACCCGAGCCATGGCCCATTACCAAGCTGTGGATGGTTCAGAAGTGGGCCATGTGAATAGCTGGCCAGCGCATGTGCGCACGTGTGTGCTGCTCGACTTGCACAAATGGCAGCCTGGCACCCAAGTGCACTGGCCGACCACTTGCACGGGGCCCCTCTCCCCCCCCCCCCGCTGGACCGCCAAGACATAAAGGATGGGAACTGCTGTGCTAAGCCACAAACCCAAGCAAGGCGAATCCCAACCAGGCTTAGCATGTCTGCCAGCAGCCACTGGATTTGCAAAACATCTCTGGTGTGAACACGGTGACTGAGTTCTTTCCTTCCCTGCCGATCATATTCCATCTTCAAAAGAGGATCTTTTTCTAAATGAAATTAACCATCACAATATGCTTACGCTGCTTAGTCAGCCTGCTAAAAATCTTGGGATCTGCATAATAAGCTGAACCACAAACTAACCAAAGAGACTCTGTTTGTATAACGGCCAAACCCACAAAAATCTAGCCACGATTAACCCTTAGCAAGGTCAAGCAAATTGGGCCCTTTCAGAGGCTTGGTTTTTTCCCAGATCTAGCTACCTTTGTTGTGTGAAGGAGGCCACTGTAATGCATTCCACAGATATCTCCCCACCACAGTGCGCGTGCTGAAACTCTGAAACCAGGGCATGGAGCTCCATATGGAAAAGCAAAGATGGGCGACCAATGGAAGGAAGGTAAACAGAAGGCCTTTCAGAGTCCAGCAGCTCCTTAGCAACTCTGGGACAGCCAAGGGAGCTGCTAATACTCGCTGGGGCACTGAGGTCTTTTATTCTGAAGGAGACGGAGGAGAGATGGAATGCAAAGAGCAGCCTATTCAACACTGAAGGGCATGAGTGTCTCTTCAGAGGCGTTTGAAATCAGTGCATCAATCATGGTTCTGAGACACCAAAAAGCAGCCTGGCAGCCAGTGGGGAAGAGAGAAGGAAGCAAATGGATGCTTTGCACTCAACTATTGGAACTGGTCTTCTTTGCTGCTCTCTGCAAAGAAGTCCTCAACTTACAAATGGCTGCTTAGTGATCATTCAGCACGAGAGACTTTATGAGACAAGTTGAAGTTCTGATGGGTAAATAACATACTTAGTGAATTTGTGCACAATACATTCAGCCATAAATAACCCAAGTAGCACACACCAAAGGCTAAGCCAGGGGTACCCTTCCCCTTTGAGTACTCAATAACACATTTTTTGCAACATCTCACAGGCACGTGGCCACATTTTATGACTGGTTTGCTGAAAACCAGCATTTATGTCCAGTTTTGGGTAAGATTGGCCCATAACAAACCACTGGTTCATTTAATGACCACTTAATGCCTGGTTCTGAAATAATGTAGTAGGCAGTGCTTCACCCAACACCTTTCCTAGATGCCATCTGCAGCCACCTGACAGCTTGTGAACTGAGAAGGACCATTTCTCATCGCTATGCTGATGGCTCAACATCAGCCCATGTCTAGAAGGATAAATTATTTTGAGAGTTTGGGAAAGAAGAATGGAGTAGGACTTTGAACATTGGATCCAATCACAAGGTTATGGTAAGAATGTAGGAAGAGATGTATTGGTGAGTCTCATCCAGATTTCAGCAGCTGATCCGTAGGGCATAAGGACAATAGTAGCCTTCCTCAGTTCCTCAGTGTACTGCCTCCAATAAGCCGTGGTGGTGCAGTAGTTAGCATGCTGTATTGCAGACTGACTCTGCCCACTGCCAGCAGTTCGATCCTGATGAGGCTCAAGCTTGGCTCAACCTTCCATCCTTCCGAGGTGGGTAAAATGAGGACCCAGATTCTTGGGACATACATAGAATAGCCCAAAGCACACCTTCCGGTAGAGAGATGTTCCCAAGGATGGGCTTCAGCATGAGTCCGAAAGCTCAGAAGACTAAACCTCTGGTCCCGGGAACCGACCCAGATTGGATCCTGCAAAAATCTTGCTGTCTCTGAGAAGGGAAACCATTTTGTGCCCACCTGACAAAAAGAAGCCACTTCAGCCCGAGGGCGACGTTGGGTCTTTGCATTTTTCCACTCTTGTGAAAATGTCCAATTAGGGAGCTTGGGTGGGAATATATATATATATATATATATATATATAATTTTAGATTCTGAAGCTCATCAAGCCCAAATGGTTCACAAGAAAAGCTGATGAGAAAGGGGAAGCGGGCGACTTCAAAGGCAAAATGAGGGCTCGTAATCAGGAAAGGATTAAGGCACCATTCAACACTGGGCTGCCAGCTGGGTTGTTTTATCTACCTCTTATTTTTTTTTCCTTTCTCTTTTTTTCTTTTTTTTCCCCTTTGGTAAAAAGGCCTTCTCTGCAAAAACTTCACCATGGAGACTGAAGACTCAGCAAACATTCAAGAAACCCCTTTCTGGCCACGGTCATTAAAAGTGGCTTTTCGGAATCGTCATTAGGAGCTGGCAGTACAGGGGAGGGGGGGGGCAGGATTTTCTTGTGCACAACAACATGCACATAATTTCAATGGACTTCCACCGACTCCCAGATCAGGGGTAGAGTCCCATTACTGCGGTGAAAAAGGGTGGGGGAGAGGCAGTGTTGGAATCCATTTGAGCCCCTTCCTTATTAAGAGGTTGTTGTTGTTGTTGTTGTTGTTCCTCTTCTTCTTCTTCTTCTTCTTCTTCTTCTTCTTCTTCTTCTTCTTCTTCGCCTTCTTCTTCTTCTTCTTCTGTTCAGAACAGAACCAGAAAATAAACAAACCAAGCAACTTTTATTTAGTCCATTTACTAATGGTTAAGAACTACACCTGCATAGGCAGTACTTTGCCTGACTGCTCTCAGCAAAACTCAAAAAACTTTATGAAAAGGGCATTAGCTTTGATGAGTGAAGCTCACTTCATCGGATGCGTTGAAGAGCTGACTCTTATGTCATGTGCTTGATCCAGAAAGCTTATGCATTGAATCAAACATGTCAGTTGAAAAAAATATTACCAGACATGCCTGATATTTGCTACCAGAGATGAATATGACTCTTCTCCTACAGTGTCTTATTCCATGGAATAAGTTATGACGATGCTGAAAAAAGTGACTTATAACCAGCCTCATACTTACAACTGTCCCAGTCTCCCCATGATCATGTGATCAAAATTTGGACACTTGGCAATCAGCTGGTTATCAAAGGTGATTCCAGCATTTTGCGACCTTCCCAGGAGGCTTGTGACAAGGCCAGATTCGCTTAACAATGGCAGCAAAAAAGTCGTAAAATTGGTTGCAACCTAATGACAATGAATCTTTACTTAGCGTTGCAGGTTCTGCTCCCAACTTGTCATAAGTTCAAGGATTATCTCTTGTGTGTCACTTGTGCAATTGTATCATAAGGGACATGATGTTCTTTGCCTCCTTGACAACATTATCAATGTTCTCCTAGGTGAGGGAGGGGAAACTGCAGGCAGACTTCTGGATCTCTTTATAAATAATCCTCCTGAGATCAATGAATAGCCTTCTTTAAACCTTTGGAGAGGATTAAGTGCAGCTAAAATAACACAAAGAAAGAAGAGAGAAAGAAACAACATTGTTGTAATAAACTGAAGAGAGGAACGAAGGAGGAAGGAGAAGGAAAAGAAGAAGGAGAAAGAGGAGTAAAAGGAGACGGAGAAGCAGAAGAAGGAAACGGAAATGGAGAAACAACCAAGAGGAAACAATTTGTCTTGTCCACTTGCAACTCAGTGAACTCCAACTAAAGGACAGCATTTTCTCATGGACTGTCAGAAACGCTTGCAATTGAAACCTGATGCTTGTTCTTAAGTAGAAAGGGAAATTCTACGGAATTTTGTCCCATTCTACGGATGGGACAAAGTCACTCATTGTTTCAACTCACTTGATGAATAAAATTCAAGGAGATCCATTGGAAGGTCCCCTATGGTGCGAAGAAGCATTTCCGTAGTTAGGAGTCTTACCTTGCACCACGAGTCTTCCTTGGGCTGTCCTTCTCACCCTTGTGCCAGGCTTATTGGCCGCACACACGTATATCCCAGAATGCTGCACGGTGAGGTCTGAAATCATGAGATTTCCGGTTCCAAGGACCTGAATTCCTTCCACACCAATTGGGCGCCCGTCTGGAATAGGAAAGAAAGAAGTAAGATGGTCGCCCCTGTCCTGCTTGCAGACTGACCAAGCCAGTTGGGATTACCCTCCTTTAAAGTAGAATTGCAACATGTGCGTCTCGCACGCAACCCTGTCAAACGAGTCAAAATCAGGTTGATCATGTGACTTGATTTACGACCCTCGTAAGTTATCACCATGATGAACAGGCTTCATTATGATCCTAACTTGAGGACTACCCATAAATGGAACATCTTCTTCCAATGGGAGTGGAAATAAGCTGGAATGACTCTGCCATGTCCCCCCAAAGAGTAAACAAACTTAAAACCATTGAGTTAGTTCGTATTTCAGGGTTTGGGGCAATCTAGAAAACATTTATTAATTCAGGAATTAAACATTTGTCAGCTTGGTGTAATGGTGGGGCAGACCCATCTCAAACTATTTTCATTTCAAAGGTATTTTGGGGAGTGGGTGGGTGGGTGGGTTCAGCAAAACTGGGGAAGGCCCTTTTAAGTTTTCTAGCTTCTGGGGAAGGAGGCCCAGGCATTGTCCAAGAATTTCTGCCATGAAACAGCTGGCTGGCTGCACTTAGTACGTAGTAAAAAGAAAACTTAAAAGCCAAATCTGCCTAGCATTTAAGAAGTGGAATTGGTTTGCCGGAGTGTCTGACCTAAAGGTCTGTGCTAAAATTCAGATTCAGCTCAATTGCACCTTCCAACGGAAAATCCTGAACAAATTATTTACACTCCACACCCCAACTCCCATCTCTCTGCCCTTGGAGGGAAAAAGATGACTGAAAAGGTGGAAATAATGGATGGCAGCAGAGCTGAAATGGATGTTATTGTTTCTAAAATATTCAGGGGAACTGAGAGAGTTGTCAGCCAGAAGGGGGGGGGGGGGGAAACGGCAGAGTCCTGTGCCAATACATTATCCAATTAATTGGGCTCTACTGCTGTCATATGGAGGGGGTTGGGGAGAGAAGGGTAGTGCTTAGTTATTTATTTCTCACTACACTCCCCCCCCCCCAAGTCTGACAGTATTCCAATATTCTGGGTCTTTTTCCTTTTTGCTCGCATTTCCAATTCTCTAAAGAACAGACGTGTTAAGTCTGTGATCCTTTTATCGATGTCAGACCACAAGAAACTTGTAAGAGAAGCGTTTATCTGCCAGTCTTTCAAAGAAAAGAAGCACCAATAATTGCCGTGTATTCTGAAAGAGGCACCTGAGTGTGTGTACAGCTGTTGAAGGGAAGAGGGTGTTAGAAAGATGAATATGCAATTCCAACAGGAGTAGCAAAAAGTCTTCCTCTTTTTCGGGGGAAAAATGAACTCACTATTCCTCTCTTGGGGGGGGGGGTTCTCCCCTTTGTATTTGTAAGTTTGCTTGTTTTTTCTCCTGAGTAAGCTGTTAATTGAGACTTTGCTCAGTTCAGAAGTATTAAATCGCCTTTTCTAACCAATCAATTTTATTAAAAGACACAAGCTTTCATGAGCAGCTAGATCTTTTAGCAAGATTTGTTTGTTGGGAAAGATTTACTTAATCCTTCTGCTTTTTTACCATGAAAAATTAATTTGGCTTCCCTCCTACAGTGACTTTAAAAGTATTAACTTTTAACCCTCAAGTGGATTTGTATTTTGCTGAATCTCTTATATAAACTGAATCCATTTTCCTCTGAAAATCACCTAAGGACAGGATTGTTCAACTTTTGGGAACCAGAGATCCTATTTAGCATTTTGACAACATTTTACGGGCACTTTCATAAAATGGCTGCCATGGTATCTGTGTTACTTGCAAGATACTCGCATACCAACTGGCAAAACAAGCTCCTCTTCCATTTCATTTTCTAAGGATATTTGGGGGGGGGTCTCTGTGGGCCTTGACGGTTTTGCACAATGCTAGGCTCTTCTTTGTGTTTTGAATTAAATCTAGATTAGTATTTGCTATCCTTGGTATTGTCCAGGTAAGTGCATAGACTTCAAGTCCCAGAATTCTCATCTATAGCCATGTTGGTTGCGGAATTCTGGGATTTGAAGTCCACACACCTGAAAATTCTTATGCTTTGGAAACTAATCTAAACAAATAACATGAGTTGTAGCAAGGGGGTCTTAGCTTTGAAATGAAAGTAGTTTGAAGTGGGAGATAGGTTGGCGTCTGCCCCACCATTACACCGAGCTGACAAATGAAGTAATAAATGTTTTCTGAAATTGCCTCAAACCCTGAAATCCGAACTAACTCAATGGTTTTAACTTTGTGTAATCTTTGGGGGGACATGGGGGGAGTAATTTCAGCTTATTTCCACTCCCGTTGAAAGAAGACGTTCCATTCATTGGTAGTCCTCAAGTTATGATCATAATAAAGCTTTTTCATCATGGTGATAACTTACGAGGGTTGTAAATCAAGTCACATGATCAACCTGATCTTACAACCTTTTTTTCGTAAGGGCTGGTTTTGCCAAAAACTGGAAGTCAATGCAAATTTTTGGCAAAACCATTGTAAAACTCAGTTATATGACCACAGGATGTTACAATCGGCTGTGAATGCTTGAGCACCTGGAGTGTAGTTATGTGGCTAGTGGGGCAATGATTGGAACTTCAAATTTGGGTCATAAGTACCCCATGTCATAACTTCGAATAGTCACATAAGTCAAGGACTATCTGTATAATGCTCATTATGTACCTATTTTCTATCAATGATTGTTTCCTAACCGTACCCACCAGGAACTCATATTTGCTAGAGCAAAAGAGAGTGGGTTCATGAACCATAAAAATATAGAGCCAGCTTAATCTCGAGGTTGAGGCACCAGGCTAGAAAGTGGGAGACGGTGACTTCTAGTCCTGCCACGAAAGCCAGCTGGGTGACCTTAGGCCAGGGGTAGGCAACCTTGGCTCTTTTCCTACCCCTGCCTTAGGCCAGTCCCTCCCTCTCAGTTGTGGGTAAAATAGAAGGAGAAAGGAGAATTCGCCATTTGCCATCTTGGGTTATTTAGAAAAAAACAAAGGTGGGATAACAATATTTATAAAAATATTTTGTGGTCAAAAAAAATTAAGAGGACAGCTATAGATTTGGAGTACCCACCAAGTCGACTCCAGGAGACAATAGGCCTGGGATTCCCAGTTGCAATACATTCCAAGATGGCAGTCTGGTGCACCGTCAGGGTCAGGTTCTCAGGTCCCACAAGGATCATAGGGTCTTTGTAAACAGCAGAAGGAGAGCCTGTGCAGTAAACAGCAGACAAGCAAAACCTTTCATCGTTCCTTTTTGCAAATATTTTACATTAGAGGTGGACAGAAGCCAAGGTTCTGAGGAAAGGAATTTCAAGGTGTAGAGCAGGGGTAGTCAACCTTGGCTCTTTTATGACTCGTGGACTTCAACTCCCAGAATTCCTGAGCCAGAGCAGAGCTGGCTCAGGAATTCTGGGAGTTGAAGTCCACGAGTCATAAAAGAGCCAAGGTTGGCTACCCCTGGTGTAGAGGGACCTCCTGGGGGAAACATGGCGAACTACCTTTTTTTCCAAAAGGCAACTAGACTTTGTTTTTTTAAAAAAGATGTTTCACTTCTCATCCAAGAAGCTTCTTCAGTTCTAAATGAATGGTGGAGATTCTCCACCATTCTGTCAGAAGTGAAGAAGCTTCTTGGATGAGAAGCAAAATGTCTTCAAGGAAAAAAAAGTCCATTTGCACTTTTAGCAACCGAAATTTTGGGCTCAGTTGTGGTCGTAAGTTGAGGACTACCTGTAATCTCTGTCCCCATCCCATCCCACCTCACCCCACCCCACATCCCACACCCCTCTCCAACCAACCTGAGACGGTCAGCCTGGCTCCTCTGCTAAATTTCACATTCGCAATGTTGCTGGCGACACAGTGGAAGATCCCAGCATCTTCGGCTCGGAGTCCAGTTATTTGCAAAACTCCCTTGGGAAGCAGCGTGTACCTGAGGGATTCAGAAAACACACTTTTTGGGGATAGATGCTCGGGATTACGGTCTCTGAAGGAATATCTGTTCTCATGTATTTCAATGAGCTTACTTTATTATTCCTGCAATACCAAAAGTTATTTCCATTTTCACAGAGTGTTTATTATCTTAATCCTGAAATCTGCAGGCTGTGATGGAATTTTTCAAAGCAATTAACGTTTTTATAGTTAACTGTACTGTGCCTTTTAAATTATCTGTTCACTTTCACAATTACAATTTGAGAACATTCTATATACCAACCTTGGGAAAGCTGTTTTGAACAGGAGATCAGGTTTGAAAAATAATGTATTAGGAAAATAATAAATACAAGGCTTGACATTGCCTTCGGAACAAGAACAAAAAAGTAATTCTAAAAGAAATCAGCAGAATGTACTGGATCATCCAACAATTCTATCATCTAGTCTGTATTTTGCCATTTTGTTCATAAAGATATCATGAGACACCTTACATGAACCTTTGATGAAGTCAAGATTCATGGTGTCCGTGGCATTCTCCTCATCTATTATATCTATCCTATTACTTTTTGGGGACAAGCCCATTCTGACTATTGTTAAGTGTTACATTCCAATCCAAGTGCGAATAGAATAGGATAGGATAGGATAGGACAGGATGGAATGCAGAATAGAATAGGAATAGGATAGGATAAAATAGAATAGAAATGGAAGGGAAGGGAAGAGAAGAGGATACTTTATTGTCACTTTAAATGTACACTAATCAGCAGACATTAAAATGAAATTTTGTTGCATTCAACTCTCAAAGAGTAAGTACCTCCAATATACATTACATAAACATGACAAAAGAGTATTTATATACTCCCCCCCACACACACATATATGACACAGAATTTCGAAGTTACAACGGCACCAAAAACAGCGACCTATGACTTTTTTTCACGCTACCATTGCAGCAAATTCAGATGCTTGGCAAATGCCTCGTACTTATGACGGTCGCAATGTCCTGGGGTTATGTGATTCTCTTTTGGAACATTCTGACAAGCAGAGTCAATGGGGAAGCCAGATTTACTTCACAACCTGTGTTACTAACTGAACAGCTGCAGCGATTCACCCAACCACCGATTCACCCAACCACCCTGGTGAGACAGATCCGTAAAATGGGGCAAAAACTCCCTTAACAAATGTTTCACTTAGCAAGAGAAATGTTGCACCCCGTGGCTGTCGTAAATCAAGGACTATCCGTACAGAGATCAAGCGGACAGATCTATGGGTTGTCCTTTCTCCCTTTTGGGATGACAAGAAACAACATTTGCAGATGTTGGCTGCCCTACTTCAATCAGCCTGGGACGTGGCTCGTGAAACAGCCCGCCTGTCCCTCTGGACGCCAAGGGTGACTTTCTGTGATTTTAAGGGACAAAATGACTGGCATGTATTTAGTGCCCTCTACCTTGTAAACCTGGATCAACAGACTTCTGAGAAGGGAAGACACCTTCCTCTCCTAGCCAGTTTGGGCTATTCGGACATGTTTACCTGTTGTTATCTGTGCTGATAGGGAGATGATTCTTCTGCCACATGATCATGGGCTCTGGCAAGCCGTGGATCTGGCACTGGAAGCGGGCAACACCTCCTTCTTCCACCACGGCACTCTGGGGGTGTACGTGGAAGTCAGACATAGCTAAAAGAGAAGACACAAGACACGTCGCTCAGAATTAAGGATCTTTTTGAAAAGGGGGTCACCTGATATGGCATAGCTGCTGTTGCTTTTCATCGTTGTTAATGGCCCAGAGTCATATATTTGACCTGGATGTTTGTACTGATTGAATGAATGAATAAATGAATAAATAAATAAATAAAAACAATCTCTGCTTCCTGGAAATCCCAGGTAGGTTCACGCAACATACTAGAGTGTGATAAAATGGGCTGTTTGTGCTTCAGCATCTTCTCAGACAGAACCCGGCCATTGTCTTAGGAGGCAGGGAAGCAGGTTACTGCTTTCTTGAAAGTAAAATAACCCACATAGGATGCTGGAATTAAAAGCATAAAAAGCACAGAAAAATTATAATACATTTTTAAAACCAGCTCTATATTTTTACTTCCAAGAGACTGGGCTGTGAGGTGAGAGGAGAGAGTTTTTTTTTATATACAAAGAAGATAGAAAAGTTTATTATAGGCTTATCAAATAAATGAACTATATCATGAAGTTGCTCACACCCAGCACTGAATTCCCCACTCAACAGCTTTGAGATGTTTCTTTAGCCTCCAAGCATGTCCCCAGAAGCTCAGAAAACCTACTGATGGTTTGAAACAGCCCTAAACATCAGCAGCTGTGACTGCCCAAAGCCTTGGACAACTGTCTGCCGGCTCTCCACCCCCCCCCCGTGGCAAAAGGGTGTCTTTTGGTTCTGCTTCCCCTGTGTTGTCCTCTGCAAGATGCCTTCAGGCGACAACAGAGTTAAAGAGTTAACCCACGTGTGCACGTGGGCGCCTCCCTCTTCTCTGCAACTTACATCAAAGAAAACACTAGTGCCTCTCTTTAAAGGGAGAGGACCAAGATGTCAGACAAGATTCATCACTCACCTTCAGCGTCCCATTGGGCTCCAACAGATGGGAGGCTTCTCCTGTCGGTTCATACATTAAAGATGGGCTGTCCCACCCCCCTCTTCCCCCTCCCCACCTCCACGGCTCTAAGTGCCAGATTACTGCGTTTCAGGGGAAGTCCTTGCATGCTGATTCAGCCTTAGCCCTTCCTTCTCTTGCCTCCTTCTCACCCCCCCAAAGGGAGACCTAACCCAAACCTGGTTTTAATGCAATTTGGGAACAGTTTATTAAATTAGAGAAGGCCCTTCAACACTAATGGCGTTTGACTGCATTAAGAAAAGAGCTCTGAGCATCAACCAACCAGGGTAGAAGCACAACGGAAGTAGCGTTGTGTGGTTTTTATTTTCCCTGTACCTTGCTGTGCTCTAGTGAGGCTGAACATCAACATGCTTAGATTTTAAGGACAGTTGACTGTAGCCATTAACATGTTGGATTGGGGGAACCACAGCCAACATGACTACAGGTAGTCCTCGATGTATGACGGCAATTGAGCCCAACATTTTTGTTGCTAAGCGAGACATTTGTTAAGTGAATTTTGACCCATTTTGCGATTTTTCTTGCCACAGTTGTTAAGTGAATCATTGCAGTTGTTAAGTCAGTAACTAGGTTGTTAAGCAAATCTGGCTTCCACCACTGACTTTGCTCATCAGATGGTCGCAAAAGGGGATCACGTGACCCCGGGGACACTGCGACCGTCATAAATGTGAACCAGTTGCCAAGTATCCAAATTTTGATCATGTGACCCTGGAGATGCTGCAAGGCAAGTGTGAAAAAGGGTCCTGAGTCACTTTTTTCAGTGCCATTGTAACTATGAATGGTCACTAAAGGAACTGTTGTAAAGTCAAGGACTACCAACATAGTGCTAACCTGGTCCATTATTTATTTAGAAAATTTATATCATTGCCAACTCGCTCACAGAGACTCAAGGCGGCTTACGGGAAACCAACACACAACATAAAAGGAATAAAAATAGTAAAAAAAATAAAATAATAAAATAATAACACACACACCCCAGACAACACACACTCTCATACCAGCCACTTAATGAGCTCCATTCTGCTCTGGGTTCCCCAGGCCCGCTGGCAGAACCACTTCTTCATGGCCTTACAAAAGAGTGTCAAAGTGGAGTCCAATCTAATTTCCAGAGGGGTGATGTTCCAGAGGAAGGGAGCCACCACGGAGAAGGCTTAACTCACCACAGACTGAGATACACAGCTGAGCGTCATCAGCATCTTGATGACATCTCAGTCCCTGGTGACAGATGATCTCACCCAACGGGCGGAGAGAGTGCCAAAGCCCTGCTATGAAAAAGAGTTGAGATCCCCATATGCACCACTCTGAATTCTATGGGAAAGGAGGGAACAACAACAACAACCATCAAAGCTATCAGGGTTGTTATGAAATCTGTTATTCAGTCAAGTCTGTAAATCTAGTTCTATAATGGCTCATATCTGAACTGCCCGTCTTCATTCCCCCCCCTGCTTTTATGATTATAGAAGCTTCTTGGCATTACTTTCTATCGTGATTGTTATTTGAAGTTATTATACCGTAGACATTTCACGGTATTGTTTATATATATTGCAGCCTGCCGAGAGTTCCTTTGGCTGCAGCAGGCATAAATCCCAGTATACAGAGATGGAGGCTTTCTTTCGGGAATCTAATATTATTTCATCGTTTAATTTCCTGGTGACACCTCTGAGCATAAGTTCAGCGCTGCCCTTGAAATGATTCCGACGCCTTCCAGTCCCTGTTCCTCTTCACGGTGCAGTTTTAAGAACAGATGCAGCACCATGTCTTCTCCTAAACCCAAGATCTTATTTCTCTGGGGGTTTCTTATGCTGAAATCATGAAGCAAGTAGCTCGCCAACTCAGGTGCGCCCTTCTCAGTACAGGTAGTCCTCATCTTATAACAGTTCTCTCAAAGTCCCAGATGATCCCTGGGCAAGCTTCTGAATTTGCTGAATAGGAAGCTAACCAACAAAGCAGACGTGAAAAGAAATTGTCCCCAGCTTTCTAGCCAGCTTGCTAGATTCTAGCAAGCTGGCTAGAAAAGATTGTGGAGAGGACATAATGCCATTCCCTGGGAACTGCAGGAGTGGAGCGTTTATTTGACCGAGGACAGCCCAAGGGACAAAACAACACGCCCGTCGCTTCATTGCAATATTCTCATTCTTCCAGGTAAAGACGCTGCAAGACTCACACCTCTTAAAGACGCCGGTATTAATATTTATCATGAATAAAACAAGGCAGACCATAAATAATTCAGCGATGAGGATGTCAAGTAAAATATGCCGGTCTGCACCCTTCTGATGCGTCTTTCATGAACAGCGCCTGGGAAAAAATCACCACCTTTGGCAAAGCAGCTTGCATTAAACATTCATGGCTTGTGTTATAAAATACTGCTTTAAAAAAAAAAAAAAGACACCGATGCAGCCTACATTTTATTTACTGTTGCAATGACAGCTGTTTCAAGTGATTTTGGGTGCAAACAGCCTCATGGTCAAGCTGCAAATGTTCATCTGGGGAGACCCGAGCCTCAAAAAACACACACAGACACACACACAGACAAGACCCAAACTCTATTTACTCCGTGGAAAACTAAGTGGAAAACTAAATAGAAATTATTAGCGGGCAATCTATTTTCATTTAGAAAACCATTAGTGAGCAGGAAGAAGCCCACCCCAGATTTTGGACCTGAATGGAGGGGTGGGACTCCGAGGAGGCTGCAGACATGGTTCATTCACTGCCCATCTCTCTATCATTCTATAACCACCTTAGCTATCAAGGGACGTACAACGTTCCGGTTCTTGCTCATCTGGAGACCTCAACCATTGTTCTTTGATGCTGCTGTAGTGTGTCATTGAGGTTGTCTCTCCATCTTCTTCTGGGTCTGCCTCATAGACTTTGTCCTTCTCCTCTTTTTGTATATCCCTTTTACGGTATGGAATCCCAAGACATCCTCTCCACAAATAAACCTCCGGGTGGCTAGCCTCAACGACTAAAAGAATGCAAATGACCAGCTGTCTGCAAGGAGTATAAATCCTTCCATTCCGCACCATCCAGAAGGAACTTCTTGGATAAGAAGCTAAACGTCTTCAAAGGAAAACAAGAAAGTCCAGTTGCCTCATGAAAAAAACTGCTGCCAATCCAGTCATCTGCAGAGATTTCTCCCTGGAGGAAGGAAGAGAGCAGGAGCTGGGCACCCTTTGGGGCCTAAAGGTATGAAAGGAAGTGAAATTAAAGGACAGAAAGCAAGTTCAAGGGATGGACGTGAAGGTCTTCAAATTCCCCTAGGCGTTCTTCCTTCCTTTCCCATCCTGTCCAACCTTCTTTGCTTTAGACCAGTGTTTCCCAAACTTGACAATTTTAAGGCATGGGAAACACTGCTTTAGACCTTCTAAGAGTTTTGAGATGTTCAGAGAAAAGACACTGTAACAAGTCCTTTCCCCCCTCTCCCAGCAAAGACCACTCAGAAGAAGAAGACCACTAGTTATTCAGGCCACCTTGCCATAAACTGGAGTTTCGGCCTCCGTGTCTAATGTTGCTATTGTCCAAAGCTGCCACTGACAGGCCCTGGAGGTCTTGCTATGAATGGAGGGTTCTTTGCGAGTAGCCAAGTGTGAACAACATCCCTGCCCTCTGATTCTCCAGCAGCATTGGGAATAGGACGGGGGAGGAAGGGAAGGCACAGACCTCATAGATTTTCTGGGGATGAAGAGGAGATAATAGACTAAAAATAACGTAAGTGTAGGAAAATATGAAAAGGACTAAAAGACCCTTTTCTCTGTCTACCAGCCATGCAGGAAACCTCTGTCTTGTCCAAGCGATGTGTTGGGAAGCCCACTTTTCTTTCTCCAAGCCCCAGATCTGAACAAAATACCTCAAGGTCTCTCAAACTATCTATGTCTCCGTCAACGCCACTATCTCTTGGTTTTGGCTGTTGAAATAATAATAATAATAAAAAATGACACTGGCCATCTCACCATCCAACCTCGTGAAGGCTTGTGGACGGTGGTCAATCTAGAGTAGACCGAAAGAAAGATCTAGACTTCTTTCAAAACTGAATAGGGACTTTGG